CCGATGCTGGGCGAGTCTGCCGACCATTGTTCATCGTCGACACTGCTTCGCAGACACTGCGTCTTACGCGTGAGCATGTGGATAGGATTGACCAGGCGATGGACGAAGGTCTTGGAGCGGGTGCGTTCGATAGGCTGTTGTCAGAGGGTATCGTCGAGTATGTCGACGCCTCGGAGGAGGAGACAATCCTGATCGCCATGACCCCTGAAGACCTCATCAACGCTCGAACTGCGACCAGCAAGGAAGAGCTCGTGCGAGACAGGGCGGCACACAACCTCGAGTCATTCGACCCCGCCGCGCGTATCAAATCGACCGTCTGGAGTCAACAGTACACCCACATGGAGATCCATCCCAGTATGATTCTCGGTGTCTGTGCTAGTATCGTCCCCTTCCCCGACCACAACCAATCTCCCCGTAACACCTACCAATCTGCTATGGGTAAGCAGGCTATGGGTGTCTGTCTCACAAACTATCAGCTCCGTATGGACACGATGGTCAATGTGTTGTACTATCCCCAGAAGCCGCTGGCCACCACCCGGTCCATGGAGTACCTAAAGTTCTCTGAACTTCCTGCCGGTCAGAACGCCATTGTAGCCATCATGTGTTACTCTGGTTACAACCAGGAAGATTCGGTCATTATGAACCAGTCCTCTATCGACCGAGGGCTTTTCCGATCCTTGTACTTCCGGTCTTACACAGACACTGAGAAGATGAAGGGTATGGCCAAGTCGGAGACCATTGAGAAGCCGGACAGGAACGAGACTTTGAAGATGAAGCACGGCAGTCACGATAGATATGCCAAGCTCGACGTTGATGGTTTGGTGGCCCCTGGCACCAACGTTAACGGCGACGATATCCTCATCGGTAAAACCGCTCCCTTACCAGAAGACAGTGAAGAGCTCGGCCAGCGTACGCAGCTCCACACTAAGCGAGATATCTCTACACCCTTGAAGAGTACCGAGCAAGGTGTCGTCGACCAGGTCATGCTGAGTACGAACGGTGAAGGCAACATGTTTGTCAAAATCCGTGTGCGATCCACGCGTGTGCCGCAGATTGGTGACAAGTTTGCGTCTCGACATGGTCAGAAGGGTACTATCGGTATCACCTACCGTCAAGAGGACATGCCTTTCACTGCGGAGGGTCTTGTGCCTGATATCATCATCAACCCGCACGCTATTCCCTCTCGTATGACCATCGGCCATTTGGTCGAATGTCTTTTGTCCAAGGTCTCAACCTTGACAGGTGCTGAGGGTGATGCCACACCCTTCACCGAGTTGACTGTCGAGGCCGTATCCAAGGTCCTCCGCCAGCGGGGATACCAATCCCGAGGCTTTGAGGTCTTGTTCCATGGACACACGGGAAGGAAGATGCAGGCGCAGGTGTACTTTGGCCCGACGTATTACCAGAGGCTGAAGCACATGGTGGATGACAAGATCCACGCGAGAGCAAGAGGACCGTTGCAGATCTTGACGAGGCAGCCGGTGGAAGGTAGAAGTCGTGACGGTGGTCTGCGTTTCGGAGAAATGGAGAGAGATTGTATGATTTCGCACGGTATTGCTGGGTTCTTGAAGGAGAGGATGTATGGTAAGTTGGTCTTACTCCTTCTCCATGGTCGCCGCTGACAGCCCTTGCCAGACTCTTCCGACGCTTTCAGAATACACGTCTGCGACATCTGTGGTCTCATGGCTGTAGCCAACCTCAAAAAGCAAGAGTTCTACTGTTCGGTGTGCAGAAATAGTACGCAGATCTCGCAGGTGTACATCCCGTACGCTGCCAAGCTGCTATTCCAGGAGGTACGTCTATACGGACATCTAGCATCGGATATGGGACTGACTTTGGCCGTAGCTCCAAGCTATGAACATTGCTTGCAGGATGTACGGCGAATCAGACTAGAGACGGCAACAAAGTGTACAATGGCAGCTAGAGGGTAACGAGTGTGTGCTTTCCCCTGAACAAACAATCATCATCATCAAAATTAAGAATATATATTTGGGGACCAAATAGTCTTTGTGTTCGTTTTGACATGTAAAAGTCTCGCATAAGATGCCCAAGATAAGACTGAAGTTCTTGGCATGGAGAGCAGCTTGTTATTCGATTTCTTTATACACTTGCCCATCAAGTAAGATACATAAATGGAGTGACTACATTCAATACATACAAGTACAGACGCGTCGGATCACCCCGGCCGCCGATACAAGTTCCAACTCACCATTTTCGCCGTTGCCTCTTTCTGTTTGCTTTCTGTGCGCATTTGGTATCTCCTGGACATCCCACATCTTGATAAACATCCTGGTGATTACGTGGCCCATCATACGAGTCCACTATGAGCGACGGCAATTCCTGGCAAGTTCCAGGCGACGGGCACGTCTCACCTACAGAGGCACATCACGCGGCTGATACCTTTCAACGTGTTTACAGTCTTTCAGGTGGCCTGCCTCACAACGGCGCAAGCGATGACGAAGATGAGCAGCTCAGGAGAGCGATCGCTTTATCCGTAGAGGACTGCAGGGCACCCAAGAGACAGAAACGCGAAGAGACGCCCGAAGAGGAGCGCCGCCAGCTGGCCGAGTAGGTACTTCTTGAAGCTTCAATGTTGACTAACAGGCTATAGGGCCATGGCAGCATCCCTCGAGGCTCCTTCTACCTCGACTCCATCGACATCAGACACCCCGAAGCAGCCCAAAAGCCAATCTGCGTCAGGCCTGCAAGAGCAGACGTCCGCCACAGTCTTGAAGATTGGCGGCCAGACCATCGACAGGGCGCAGATGGAGCGAGAGAGATTGGAGAGGCAAGCGGCTCGAGAAAAGGCCTCAGGAAAGACACCTGGTCCCTCAGCCCCCGCAGGCAGCTCTAGGCATCACTCAATGCCAAGTCTGCACAACGACTCTCAGCTGCCCAGAGCTGCCAACGCTCATCCTTTCCAGGGTAATCGCCCATTCCCTCGAGATGCTGCTGGAGAATACTACCTGAGTGGCGAAATGCGTCACACCTACAACAAGGTTGTCCCGACTCAAGAGCCCATCTTTACCCCGCAAGATGTTGTTGGTGCTGTGAGTCGATGGGCGCCCGATTTGGCCGGCCAACTAACCAGATACCATATAGCACAGCGAAATATCTCTGATCATCGCGTCTTCCTTTTGTATAGACGATCAATGGGTGGAGGAGGCCAATATATTACCCGATCCCGGCAGAGTCCCGACCCTCATTATTCGACCATTTCCACGGGAAGATCTAAACGGGAAAGTGCAAACACTGGCGAACAGCGAGGTTTGGAGCTTTCCGCACATGGCTGATCCAAACTGGGGGTAAGTCGCAGAGGTTAGTAAGTAACAGAGTGCTGATTTGGGCAGGTCGATGCACATGAAGTTCTTCTGGGTGAGTCATGGTCGCATAGAGTTGGGTATTCACTGACACAGGGACCAGATCTTCTACAAGACCGGTAGACTTCGCGTTTGCATTTTGACGGCGAACATGGTGCAATATGATTGGGATTTGGTCGAGAATGTAAGCTTTGCATGCGATAACTGAATCGGAACAAAATGCTCACAGTCAGTCCAGACTGTTTTTGTTCAGGATTTCCTCCCTCTCTCCAAGCCTGTCAACGATCTCAGCGAAAGTGTTCCTTCCCACGATCTTCCTCTTCAATTCCGCTCTCTGTTTACCTCCATCCGCGTCCCGGCCGGGCTTCAAGACCTTGCACGTATTCATGGAGAGCTTCCTTTCAGTGGTAAAGACAACTTTCGAGATCTGAAGAAGTGGGATTGGAGTAGAGTCGCTTTCAGGACAGTCATCAGCACGGCGAAGAAGCACACGGGAGTGGATAGTGTGGTGGGCTCGGGCATGGGGAGACTGGGGCGGGTGTTGGAGCTGGAAGGCTGGAAGCCGAGGAGCGGGGAAAAGGTAGTCCTGGAGTACCAAGTGAGCCCTTCTTTGCATTTGATAAGAGCGCGACTGATAGGGCCACAGGGGTCCTCTTTGGGAAGATACAGTAAGAAATGGATTGGTGAATTCTACGCCTTCTGCATAGGCAAGCCCTTGTCATCTTTCTCGACGTCAGCTGCGAAGACTTGGCCTCCCATCAAAGTCCTCTTTCCCTCTCTAGCCACTGTCGACAACTCGTTCGGAAAGAGGGACGGTGGTGGCACGATGTTCTCTGGCAATGCGTGGAATACGGATGCGAAGGAGCTATTCCATGATGCAAATTCAAAGAGGAGCGGTATACTCATGCACTCCAAGGTGCGTATGAGACTTTCTTCCGTGATTTTGGCTGATCAGTTAGGAAGGTCATTGTGGCCTTATTTGAGCCCGGAGAGCTGACAGCCTCGTCATCAAAGACATCACTCGGCAAACGGAAAGCTGCCGTAGCAGATGATGCGCCGAAACATACCGATGAGGGCGTTGGGGGATGGATGTACATGGGAAGCCACAACTTTTCCCCATCTGCTTGGGTAAGCGCTTCGAACCAGAGCAACAGAGCGATGAGCTGACGCTGTCTCGACAGGGCACGCTTGATCTGAAAGCGAACTCGCCAGCTCTGAATGTAAAGAACTACGAGCTTGGTATTGTCTTTCCTTTGCGTGAGTCAACTCTAGCTGTACTTTTTGGGGCAGTCCTGATGAGTGATTGGTAGCACGAGACTACGCGAAGGATGTGGCGACCAAGGTCGTTCCATACAAAAGGCCGGCGAGGAGGTATGGTCCCTCTGACGTACCGTTTGTGAGTTGCGTTCTCTTGGCATTCCTCGCTCGGGCACACTGACATCTGGATGCCAGAACCAGAAAATACATCAGTAGATGACTGGCACGTTGTATCCAGATTCTGGCTCTATGGTCCCCTCGCATCTACGTATCCCCACCGTGTAGGCACCTTTCTTGGTCGACGAAGTGAGACACCCCCCCTCACCTGTGTATCAGTATACCTGTACATCTATCCATGCATCAGTTCGGCAACCCCTGGTATTGGAAAAGCGGCGAGCTTGTGAATGTTGTGGGACAAGGTTGGACAGCGGCCCGAGCGTTGGGTTACATCAACCGACGCGTCGCCTGACGACGGCTGTTTCTCCTCTTGATTTGTATCTCCATCCTTCTTTTGCATCTCCAACATCTATCGTGATTCAACCCATATTCAAGGGTCTTTGTACCACAGTACGATTGAGCCATTACCTGCGACCTTGAGAGCGCACCAGCTCCTGGTAAGTCGTCTCGTTCACGATATCACCTCCCTTTCCCTATGTGTGCATCCCACCATCCTCCCGCTTCCGTTCAACATTGCTGTTCCTATGAGCATGATATGCTATGGTAATTAGAGGCTGACACCAGCTCAGTACTTTCCCCTCGAGCTGAAGATGGGTCATATTTCCGCCACTCCCTCCAACAAGTCCAGTGGACTAATGCGCCGTCACCCATCCATCCGCGCCCCCCAACGCTCGCCTTACGGCATGTCCGACAGCCTCAAGGTCGAAGTGCAGTTCGTTCAGCCCTCAAGCTTCTACGTCAACCAGAGCCCTCATCGTATGATGCCTCAAGGTTTAGCCATCACTCACCGTGGCGAGCCTGATCGACAGGGCGCACGGATCTCACCCCTCCCGGAGGAAGAGCGGGCCCAAGCAATGCTTGACTATGAGCGTACTATTGGTGGTCCGGATTTCTCACGCTCCCGATCAGCCACTCCGCATGGTGTCATCTCCCCTCAGCCTATGCGGTCCAACGACCTCGCAGTCCCGACAGTCGCCACCAAGAGGCCTACCTCAACCCAAACGGCGGAGATTCCTTCTTTCGCGGCCGACGATGCCGCGTCCTGGCGCCTTACGAAGAAAGATCCTACCTCTTCTGCAAACGTGTCAGATCCCGCACAGCCTGCCCGAGTAAGTGATAGTCACCTCATTAGCCAGCCTCAGCTGATACTTCTCAGCCTAGTCCACCACCCTTTCAAGCCAGGTCCAGCCATGATCGTACCTTTCAGCCTGCCCAACCTTCCCAGCCCGTACTCAATCGCCCGCCTCCCCAGTCGAAGACTGACAACGTCTTCAATCCCAGTTCCGACGTAGCACCAACCCGTCAGCCTTTCCTTGACCGCCTGAATGCTCAATCCCCCAACGTACAACAACACCATGCCCATACCCGTCCTATCATCCACATGGGACAAGCACCCAAGTCTCCAGCCTTTCGCCGACCTCTCAACAACCTTCCCCAGAAGACTGCTATGGATACTCAGCGAGGTGCCTCTCATTCTGTCGTCAACAACCACGGACCGACTCTAGCCGGATCTTTCAACAAAGTCTGCAAGGCGGACGAACACCCCGGTCGAGGAAATCTACAGGAACTGATGTTTTTTGACGACTCCGATCCGGTTGACTTTGACGGTGATGGTGATGCTGGTGTTGTCAAGACTCCTATGAAGCGGATGAACGGCGACGAGAGTGCGAAGAGTATCTTCAATTTTACCCCAAACGCCAAGAACACTTTCAAAGTAGTAAGTGAAGGCTTTGTCGTGTCCTCATGGGCTTATGCAGATATAGGACATGATTGGGCCCGAGCCCCGCTTCGTAATCCCGGAGGCCTTGAGTGACCACACCTCTATCCTCAAGAGCGTCAACCCACAAGCTATATGGCAAGAGCGACTCAAGGCGGCCAAGGAGTTCTCTCATCAGGCAGAATGGATAGACTCAGCTGGTGTGTGACTTCATTGCTGTTCCCTCATTACGAGACTGACATGTTCCAAGGGTTGGTCGAGGACCAGAAGAGAAAGTTTGAAGGCGTCAAGCAGAACTGGGACCGCATCTACAACCGTAAGGTGTACTGCGTGAATACGCTTGGTAACTAACATCCCCTACAGGTATGAGCGATCTTGTTCGGACCAAGAATGAGGTCTTCCAGCACAAGAGTGTTCTCACGGACAAATATGTGGACGCAGGAGATCACTTGGCAGAGCAGTGCGTCGAGCTTCAATTGGCGACTCGCAACACGAACAAGCGGAGGCGTATCGCCAACTAGGTGTTGTGGGGCGAGTGAGCGTATCCCAATGTAGTTATCCTGGTCTTTACTCTACTTTTACTGCCTTCACTACCTTTCATACTATTCGCGTCTGCGTTCGAGATCTGATTAAACCCACTGCTGGTAGACGCTTCGATATACCCCTTCAGCATTCTATTCCATCTATGTATGCCTCATTCATGTCAATATATGATCCCCGTGTGCATATGTCTGCGCAGAGCATGAGGAAAAGTAAGACGCAAGATGGGGATACATTCCGCTGTATTTGTTGCCGCCGCTTCTGACTTTCGCGACAACAAAGGCGCAAGGAACACTTCACTAAAAGCTCATTTATCTTTCGCCAATTCGTCCTCGCCACCTATTTCGACATTGCCTCTGGCAAGGCGCCTCCAAAACTCTCGAGGACAGCTAGATACCCTCCACGGACTCCAAGATCCAGGACTGAGCATCCGAATACTTGACCGAAAAACGCGTCCCTTTTGCTTCATTGCGCGTCCCCTCTATACCATCACCACAACTGCCTATGCTGAGCCCCCCTACCCTCACCATCTGAGTCGCCATGGCTCATGGAAATCACCACCACTCCTCCAGCTCGTCTGCCAACCCCGACAAGTACACCACCCTCGACAGTCAGTCTCGTAGCAGGCGCGACTCTCTTCCGCAGAGCTCCAGCTCGAGCCAGAATGGCATGCTGGGCCGGACGGAATCCGAAAAAATCTCCATAGCCTTTCCCTCAAGCTCCAGAGGGAAACGCTCCGATGACAATGCGAGAAGATCAACGGCGGGAGACCCGGAGAGCTTTGCTAGCAGGCTAGGCGCGCTGCCCAGCTCTTCCAGAAATGGCAGGTCTCCTTCTCGTGACTCTCAGAGAAGATTTGAGGAACGGGGAACAAGAGAGACCGAACATGGTGGAAGTAGACGGTCTGCTGCCTTCGAGGATAGCAGGAGTGATGGACGGCGGGGAAGTGCCAACTCAAGGTATGGCTACTCCGAATCGGGTGCGTCACGCGACTATCGAGAAAATCGAGACCGAGACCGTAGGCATGAGTCGTCAAGCTACCGGGAAGATGACCGTATGAGGGATAGGAGATATTCACGAGAGAGTGATCGAGACAGAGGCCACAGGGTCGAATTTGGAGACAGGGGACATTATCGAAGCAGCGATCGGCATGGTGAGCGACATCGGGATGGCGAGAGGGGCTGGGGTAAGGATCACAGGAGGGATAGGGAAGATGAACGGAGACCGAGAGAAAGAGATGCTCGGGAGAGAGATAGCGAAAGAGGTGATGAGAGCAGAGGGAGTGGGAGGGAGAGGAGCAGGAGGGACAGCGTTCATAAGGAGCGAACCCGCGAGCGAGGAGATGGTCCTCCTCAGGATGACCTGGGTCGCTCGGAAGAGCAGGGTCGAGGTGAGGACGAGGAGAAGCCGAGGGATCAACAAAGAGATCAGTCAAAAGATCGGCGAGATTCTCGCGGTTGGGGGCAGTCATCTCGCCATGGCGAGTCCGATCGAGAAGCCAGCTCCAGCAAGGAGCGCCGAGCTTCCCAATTCCATAAACCACCTTCGCCTCCTTCGAATCGCTGGGTGGCGCGACAAAAGGCTGAAGACCCCTCGACTGACAAAATCAAGGCAACGGGTCTGCTGGCGAATGAAGAGTCACGCCCGAAGATCCATATTCCATTGACTGGCAACGCCTCTTCACAGTCCTTCAAGACAATACGTCCTCCACCTCCTCACATTGAAGCGAAACTTTCAATACCCCGTCCTCCATCGCCCGGGCAACGTCCACCCACTCCTACCCGTCCACCATCGTCTCCGGCGAAGCCGTCCATCCCTCTGGCAGGTGCTCCACCGACCCCTCCCAAGACGCTTGTGCGTCCAGTGCGCCCTATACCCTCTGGCCCAGCGACGTTCTCCGGCCTACCTAATCAACGGCGCACCACGTCGCTTTCCAGCTCGACTCAGTCGCGTCCTGTGACGCCGCCGCTACCTCTTGTACCGAGTGCAGTTGCCTCTGTGGCGCCATCGCTGACTGGCAAGGAAGACGCGCCGCCTCCTCCATCGGAGACTGCTCCACCTGTACCAGAAAGGTCTCCTTCCCCATCGCCGCCGCCTATAAAGATTCCATTCCAATCCTCTACGCTCTCCGGGCTCACTTCTCTCAGCAGGGCGAACAATCCTGAGAAAAAGGCCAATGGGGGGAGCGAGATGCCACCATCTTTTCATTTCCGGCCCCTCCCGGTACCAGCGTTCCCAAAAGAGACGAGTTCTGAGGCTTCTAGCCCTGCCCTGGAGGTCCCGGCTCCCCGGCCTGCAGCGCTGGCCGAGAGAGCCCCAGAGGCACCTTGGGTCTGCCCTCCCTATGTTGCGCCTGCATGTGTCAAACACAGACCTGGGACGGGCAACTTTCTCGTCTTCAAAGACGCGGATGGCAAGGAACAAAAGCGACTTGACGGAATGATTGATGGCAAGGTGGTCGAGGTTGTAGACCCAAGGAAAGATCTGAGTAAAGAGCAGCTGGCCAGGGGCAGGGGCAGCGCAAAGCAGAGAGACGAATTTCACGAGGTCAATTTCCAGGCAAGTGATCTTCCATATGTGACTATAGCAATGCTGACAGCTAGCAGTGGGATGCTAACTCTACCGGTCCGGCACCACCTCCACCACCAGCCGCCGTGCTCATCACAGGCCTGAGTCCCCTCACCACGGTCGACCAGATAACCAAATATCTCCGCCCCCATGGTCGTATTAAGGAGCTCGATTCCAAGGTAAACCCCAAGACTGGTATGCAGCTTGGCATATGCTGGGTCAAATTCGACTCGCCGCCGTCGGGAAAGCCGGGTACCGCGAATGATGTAGCGAGTTCGGTGGTCAAGATGTGCGATGGCAAGCGGATTAGCAACAACGGCAATGAAAAGATCAAGGTCGTCTTGGACGGGAGAGGATTGAGGACTGCAAAGGCGGTAAAGGAGGAGATGGAGAGACTGTATCCTCCCAAGAAGGCGGTTGATATACCACTGGAAGGAAATAAGCCCACTCCCACCCCCGCAACAGCCCCCACTTCGACCCCCACCCCTTCCTCCCAGGTCGCGTCTACCCCCGCTCGTTTGACGAGCGCAAATGGCGTGGGAACCGTTGGCAACCATACACCCGTCGCCCGCCCGGGACCTACCACAGCCCTGAATGGCAAAACTATCTACACCAAACCGCTCGGCCAGGGGTTCCAAGGGGGGTTCCAAGCTCAGCGGTTCGGGTCCAATGCGCCATATAATGACCGGTTCAACAATAATCAGTCTCAACATCGTCCATTCGGTCACGCGAATCTCAGGCATTTAGGCCCCTATGCACCCGGTGGGGCAAGGAACCCTTTACCGAGGCCTCTTCAGCAACCTGTCCAACATCTAGAGTCAAGCTTTACGAGCGCACCGTTCGAAAAGCATGGGGCCTCAGCAGACCGTGGGCGGGCGTTGAATGGCAGAAGTTCTCGCGATCGATCGTTAACTTTGACTTCTTCCGAGTCGGACAGCGATGATGATCGGCGACCAGGGCGTAGAGGACTGTCGCCGTACGGACAGAGAAGAGTGTCCAAAAGCGGGCCGAGCCCGGAAGACGAAGAAAGACTGGCAAAGATTCGAGAGCAGATCAAGGAGAATGGGAAACCATATATCTTTGTCATTTCACAGGGCCTGCCAACGACGGCAAGCTATGAAGGCTTTCTCGGAGACCATTTCAAGCTCTTTAAACCTGCAAAGGTGAGACATACAGATCACATGGTGGGGTCAGCGCTGATAGATGTTTCCAGATTCTACAAGCTCATCTGGGATGGTATATCCTCTTTCCCGAAGACAATGCTGCTGCACAGGCCAAACGCGTCCTCGACGGTACCCTTGTCCAAGGCCGTACTATCAACCTCGCCGTCCAGACCTCCGGGCCCCGCGTCACCCAACCCCTCACTGCACCTGCCGACGCCCCTGATCGCCTGTCCGCGCTTGCGTCCGTTCCCACAGGCGACCCAACTTGGAAGAAGATGACGATCGCCAAGAAGAACAGGCCTGCGGTGCGAAAGGTGGAGAAGGAGAGGCTGAAGCCGGTCAAGAAGCTGAGGCCGGTGGACTCGAGTAGCAGCGAAGATGAAGAGGCGCCCGCGTCTGTGGCTGCTCTGAAGTCCAAGGTGAAGCGAGATGTCAACTACTCGAGCGACTCGTCAACGTCTGAAGACGATACGCCCATCTCTCGTGGCAAGCTATCGACCAAGTCTATCGTCAAGGTGAAAAAGGAGTCAGAGCCAGTTGTGGAAGAGATACCGATAGGCGACGTGACATCCGCTGATGCGATCAAGCACTCTGCCAAGAGCAAGAAGCTGCAGATAGACTCGGAAGATGAGGATGAAATCCCATTATCTACAAAGGTCGCTTCCACCAAGAAACGCCCTGCTCCCGCCAAAGGCAAGAAGGCCAACAAGAAGGCTCGTATTGAGCCCGATGGCGCCGAGTCAATGGATGTTGACATGCCCCCGCCGCCTCCAAAGAAAAAGAAGCCCACCAAGACCGAGGTGGACAAATTCATCGCCTCTGGCGCTCTTGTGGACGAAGAAGACGCTTACTGGCTCGGTCAAGTGCTGGCTGCGCAGGAAGCAGGGGTAGAGCCAGTCTTTTCTGATGACGAAGAAATCCGGGTGGAGGAGGCTCATCCACTCTACCACAGATCGGGTTCATGGCGTGCTGAAGGATGGAAAAAGATCCCTCAGGTGCAAAAGTCTAGGTATCTGCCTCAACGGAACCGCGCGGCTGTGGCCAGTGAAGACAATAGTGTCACTACCGGCCGTACAGCTCGTCTTGCTGGCCGTGATCAACACCGACAAACAGCTGCTGTCGCTGCCAATCAGACTGTCGAAAGCGATCTCTTTGCCTTCAACCAGCTGCGTATCCGAAAGAAGCAACTGCGCTTTGCGAGGTCTGCTATCGAAGGCTATGGGCTGTATGCCATGGAGACGATCCACGTGGGCGAGATGGTCTGTGAATATGTGGGCGATCTTATCAGGGCGACAGTGGCGGATGTGAGGGAGCAGGTGTATCTGAAGCAGGGTATCGGATCGTCCTATCTGTTCAGGATTGACAACGACATTGTGTGTGACGCTACGTTCAAGGGGTCTGTCAGGTGAGAGCAAATCAGATCAGAATCGCAATGGAGACTGATCGTGCTCGCAGTCGTCTGATCAACCACTCGTGTGACCCTTCTGCGAATGCAAAGATCATCAAGGTCAATGGTCAATCGAAAGTGAGTCGCAGTCGAGACATGCGGTCTTCATACTGACCCGTGGTCGCAGATTGTCATCTACGCCGAGCGAACGTTGTACCCGGGGGAAGAGGTGAGTCACTGACCATGCATGTTGACGGAGAAGGAGTGTATGCTGATCGGGCGAGTCAGATCCTGTATGATTACAAATTCCCTCTCGAGGATGATCCCGCTCTGAGAGTGCCTTGTCTGTGTGGTGCTGCAACTTGCCGAGGGTGGCTGAATTAGAGAGGGGTGGGAGTGTATATACTGTCGAGAGTAGTCTGAATAGCATACATTCAACACCGTGTATCACCGTTCTGTGATCCTGAGCAGTGTCCACAGCTACATAGGGAATGACCATACAGAAAATAGTGACATCATCATATTGACCTCCTGATCCTCAATGGATCGAAGGACGAGCAGCGCGCCCACTTCCCAGAAGGAACTTCCGATATGTTTTCCAATCCATTCGGAGGGCGTTGACTCATGGGATGGCGTATATGACAAAGCGGTATTTTATCTGATAAGGATTTGAGCCCTGACTCCCTGAGGTGGTTCGGCCGTGGTAAGCCGATCAGCACGGATGCTAATAAGGGCTAATGGGAGTAGGAAAAAAGTGTAGTGGATGGACCTGGTTTAGCTTGTTTCGCGCTGTTTCTCTCTTTCTGGCTGGTGATTCGCTCTCCCCCCGGCCGAGATCAGCAGCCCTCGCCACTCGCTGATTACCCGCTATCAGATAGAGAGAATTAGCCCCGCCCATCTTCGCGCACTTTTTTCACAACGTCCATCGACCCATACTTTTGTCTCCCCGCCGTGTCTACGTGTCCCCTCAACGCTACCCTTCTTCCCCACTCGTCGGCCCCCTGGCCATGTCTGTAGCTGTCTCTACGCCAACACCGACAATCATGTCCAAGCCAGCAGCACCCCGTCTCCAGTCCCGCCCATCCATCTCCTCTGCCACTTCTGCCAATCCATCTCGACCCATGGCCCCCAAGCCCCCCTCCCGCCCTCCTCTCAATCCCAACGCGAGTGCCAGCTCTTCTTCCTCCAGGCTTGCCGTCAAATCTTCATCGGCCGCTGTGCCCGCCCCGGCGCCTAGGCCTGCCCCTGCTTCGAGGGCGAACTCTACTGCCAGTGGGTCGGTTCCCATCGGAGTCAGTCCTGCTCCAGGCAAGGACACTTCGTCTTCAGCAGGCAAGATTTTCGCCAAGCCAAGCAAGGAGTGGGTACTCCCCGAACGTGCCAAGCCTGGCAGAAAAGTCAGCATCGATGAGCCAGACAATGCAAGTCTTCTTTTTTTTTTAGTATGCCATCGATCTTACTAACCATACCGTAGAAGCGTCAATCGCAAAACAGACTCTCGCAACGGGCACATCGTGCTCGACGTACCGACTATATTCAGACTCTTGAAGAGCGTCTCCGCCAGTATGAAGCCGACGAAATCCACTCCAACGTCCGTCTTCAGGAGGTTGCTCGTGCTCTCAAGGCAGACAATGAGCGCCTCAAGTCCGAGGTCAACGAACTCCACAGCAAGTACATGGAGGCGAGCAGCGAAAAGGAGATTTGGGAGATGGAGCGGAGGACGCTCAAGGAGGCGCTTCGAGATATGCGGACAGAGGTCGAGTCAGTGAGAGCCGGCAGAGGCATGGAGACGATTGTCAGGATGGACATTGATCAACACACCATCGACCGACTGGTACCAGGGCCTACGCTCTCTCGACGCCAGAGCAATGTCAACCAGCTCGCATCTGGTAGCTCCCACGATCACCGAGGTCTCCAAGACTGCCCCATCTGCCCCAACCCAGATCCCGATTGCGCTTGTCAGCAGCCGCACCATCACCAGCATCAGCAAAATTATCCCCCCGAGCACCTCACACTCGTCCCTTCTGCCGCTGACGATCACGCCGCTGCTTGCGGGTTTTGCCACTCCAATGACGAGTGCCTTTGCCGGGCCGTCGAGGAAGATGTCAAGCCCGACATTTCTTCGCCAAGTCACGATTTCCAGACCGAGGACGATGGATGCGGCCTTTGCACAGGTGGCGACTTCTGCGCTTGCAAGGAGGCTGCTGCTGCCGCTGCTTCAACAAACTTCCTCATCGGCAGTAGCAAGTCTCCCAAGGACACGTCGGCGGCCACGGGCGTCTTCAAGGCATCCACTACTGCGGCTGCAATGCCTCTTCGTCTGAGAGGCAAGGCGAGCGGCGCCTCAAAGGCCTCGGTTTGGTCCCTGAACCCTGTCCCGGAGTCTCCCCGCGAGGCGGTCTGCACCGGTGACCCTTCCAACTGCGATGCCTGTCGAGATGATTCTTTTGGTAAGCGGCTCAACAATGTTTTCTGAATATTACTAACAATGCGACAGGTCGTGAATTCTGTCAACACTTGTTTGAGACTGGCAAGCACGATGACTGCACTCGCTGTAACAGCCAGAAGGCCAAAAAGTCTGGCCCCACCCTGCCTCCTTCCCCCGACATCACCCAGGCTTCCAACTCATCCTCTGGACAAGGCCGTACCCCACCAACTCCCCCCAGCCATTCACACATGACAATGTCCATGTCAATGATGAGCGATGACACTCCACTCGCGCCGCTTCAGATGGCGTGCTGTGGAAACCCCGAGCTGTGTGGCGGATCGAGAAGCGGAGCGTGTACAGGAGATGTCATCGGGATAGGTGGACCGGGAGGAGCGTTGGGAATGTCCATGACGGAGCAGGAGATTCCAGAGGTGCGCCATGAGCCTCGGGCGGTGCATCACAACACGCTTCGACCAGATCAGGTCTGGAAGCAGCTCAAGGTGAGTCTGCAGCTTGTTCGTCTGATCAAAGCTAACGTGTACAAGGCCCACCCCAACGCCAAGTTTGCTTCCCTTGCTCTTCTGGCCGATGTTGTCGCCCGTCGTACCAAGTGTCTTGACGGCAGCGATGAGATGAGTCCTATGCCAGGCTCGCCGGCGCTTACGAATGGCACCCCCGGTCCTTCTGGCTCCTTCTCTCACCACGGCTCGCCCACCCCGCCCCTTTCCCGAGGCCCCATGCTCGGATCGCCCAGCGTCGGACCAAGCATGAGCCCAGCTCCCGGACCGGGCATGTCAGGATTGTCTGGTCTGCCGTCGCATATGAAGAAGAGAAACATAGAGGTAGAGACGAGTGCAGTGAGGGATGCGCTCAAAATGTTGGATGAAGCCACGCCAGCGCCGTCGCCATCGCCTGAAAGGGAGCTCAAGAGACGGCGAATTTGAGGCTGTGGTCATTTCCTTTGTGTCATTGTTTTGGGCTACTTTTCAGAATCAGAGATACGTAGAGTTTATTGTATAGTTCAAACCAATAAAAGACGCAAGCGTCGTCAAAAATAGACGAACCATGATGGGTTTCTGTTCGATGTACTGTAAGACAAGATCTTTTTCCACATATGCCATACTGTCTGATGGTCGTAGCATGTTCCATGTATCAGAACTAGAAACAAATCATCTGTACGATAAGACTGCTATCTATGATTGTTGTACAAATCTGAAACCGTGTCAGTCGGCACATTGGCGTTTCGAAACGTCACTCACGTAGCATCGATTTGCTTGATTTGAGGCAACGCCAACATGATCTTGCGTCTATAACCACCTTGGTCGTTGCTTTGACAAGGGTTTCCTTCGAGATAAACGGTGGCGAGGTTCTTCAGGGGACGGAGTTGGGTATTCAGGGCATGAAGGTTGGCAATCTTGTTGTTACTCGCCTGTTACCGCAAGTTAGTGTTGGCTTGACACGAGGCAGGTCGCTTACCCAGAACTCCTCGAGGTCTTGAAGATGAGAGATATTCTCAATCTCTTCAATGGCATTGTTGCCAACGTCGAGAGTGGTCAATTTGGTCTATCATTCGTGCATCAGCAAGTCGCCCTGAAGACATGTACGGAACTCACGTTGTGTTCGAGACCCTCAATCTTGGTCAGACCGTTGTGGGAGAGATACAGCTCTTCAAGGTTGACAAGGGCTTCAAGATTTTCGAGCTTGGTGATTCGGTTGGATTGTATAGACAAGATTTTGAGGTTGGAGAAAGTTGACAGATTCTTTGGCCGAGCATGAGAAGATGCGCAAAGCCAGGACACATACAAGGACTCACATCAAGAGAACGAATCTTGTTCTTTCCCAACCAAAGCTCCTCCAGATGCACAAGTTTTTCTAGATTCTCAATCGCCCTGATCCTGTTTCCGCCCAGCTCGAGACTCTTCAGAGTATCAGCACACCAGTCGAGCTCGCCTTCCTCGACGCGCGAGATCTTGTTCTGGATAAGGTACAAGGTGTCGACCTTCTTGAGAGAGACGAGTTTGGGCGCGTGACGGAGATTGTTGAAACTGAAATCGACGGAACTGGAGACGACTTTCAGCAAAGCATAGTAATGGGGTATAAGGAGCGTACGTGACGTTGGGTGCTCCCTTGAGCTCGTCATCGTGGACCACAGGGCCAAGACGGTTATCATAGAAATCAATCTCTTCCAGCTCAGTTAGGCCCTCAAAGGCCTCTGACGGGAGAGGCGAAGTGAGCTCGTTCTGTCTCAAACACAACCTTGTGAGGTGCTTCCTGAATCTGGGAAAGTTCAAAGGTATGAGAGTAGGTGTTTTGAGACGGAGGTGGAGCAGATGCAGTTCCTTTAGCGGAGTGAGTCAGCGCGCAAAGCTTTGTCACGAATTGCACCCACCTCGGTGTCTTCAGGATAGGACTTTAGAAAGTCTGGGTCTCCGCCCTCGCCATCGTCCTCCTTGTCCCCGTCCTCATCGTCGTCTTCAGGCTCCGAGTCTGAGGCTGGAAGCTGGACGATTTCCATGGGGCCTAGCCTGGCTCGAGGCTTGGTGGATTTGGTGGAGGGTTCAGTGTCGGTCGGGGTGACATCTTGGGCGATATCGGCAGCTACCGGGTTGCTGGTAGGAGCTGGATCAGACATGGTGGAAGATATAGGGATGGAGAAGAAAGATGTGAATGTGGCATTGTATAGTCAATCGGGGCTCCGAGATGGCGGTCGCAGGGGGCTTCAGTGCGTGCGGAATCAAATATGTGAGTGTCTGACGGCATCTATGACCCGCTTTACCATGTTCACTTACAATCGCCCCTGTCCTTATAATCGCCCCTATCCGCAATGGCAGACCCCCCAGGGCCCAGCAGCCGCATCCCCTCCGCCATCTCTGCATCCCGCCCCACCCCGCCAGACACCCATCACCCTGTCTTAGTCTCCCCCGAAAACAGGAATATCGTACAGCCTTCTCCTAGCAAGACCAGCGACCACAAAGATGAGGTCCACGACTATACCGAAGACGCCCCGCAGGCGATGGTGGATGCTGTCGCAATGGAGATAGCCAAGCACGAGCAGGAGGGACCGCCCGAGATGATGGCAGGCAGCATGGCGAGCTGGGCAGGCGTCGACGATGGAGGTAGGTTGCTGCTCTATCCTGGTTTCCAGAGTCGGTCTGACTTGATGTTTAGACGGAGGAATATTCCCGTCGTCCATCACCCGCACGCACATGCGGGCCGGCTCGAGGCGCGCATCAATTGCCTCCCGCCATTCGGTATCTTCCTTCGCTCGGCCGTCTGGCACATATAGGAGACAAGGGTCGTCCCAAATCGACCTCATTCGCTCACCCGGATCTCAAGTATTCTCACTAGACAACGACGAGAATGAAGGGGCCGGAGAAGAAGAGCACGCAGCTCATCGATACATTCCGAGCCACCGAGAGTCGAGAAGAGGGAGGGCTGGCTCTGAAGCGCAGCCTGGGAGTTACTTTTCCTATAGGGCCTACGAGAGAGAGCCAAATGACGACTACAGCACCTCTCCAGAGGTTGAACGCTTTTCTCCGACTTCAGCAAGCCCGACCCAGCCATCGACGGCTTTAGGTAGGATCGCATCCTTTATGGGATTTGCTCGACCCGAGGCAGATGACGAAGAAGCTCTTTATGGCGATGGTCATTCGTATCGTCCATCACATTCTCGATCACGGTCTCGGCGTGGCTCTACAGAGTCTAGAGCATACTCCTACCAGCAATCCAAGAGCCCTACCGGCAGCGATGATGAATGGGGATACGGTGATGAGGATATGGACTATGATGAGGAAAATGATTATCATTCTTCGCTTGCCGACGACACATCACTACCTCCTCAATCTCGTCCCGGGTCTCCGTCCATTCCGCTTGTGCCGTCTGCAACGGACGGCATCTTTGGTGAACCACACGCTGGGACGTACGAGGACCAGGAACCTCGGGACTTTGTCAGTGTGGCAGTCCCCTCCCGGCAAACTGTGGTACTTCCCGACGAAGATCTATCCATCCGATTCACATGCTACAGGACAGATCGGCTTTGGAACGTTATCTGGCTCATTGGCTGTGTCCTTTCCTTGGGAGCACTTGGTCTATTTGGGAGATGGGTGCCGAAAATTTGGGTTCAATTTGTCGGTAAAGAGGTGGCATTTGACGAGGCACCCGAGGGCAGCTGGCTTGTTGTCGAAGTGGGCCTGATTCCTTTCAAGTATCTGGGATATACTGACAAGCTTTCAGACACCTTATGGCGATCTTCATATCATCTCGCTAGACATCATTGCCTACCCGTACCCCCTATCGACTGTCTTTCCTCAATCTATTCCGCCCGTCACGGTATCTCCATCCTGCACCTCTCACTCTCCTTCGAGCTCTAGTACCCCTGTTCAAGCTGTCCACTCGTTCAGCAACGAGCCTGCTGGCGGCCATGGCGGCGCTAAAGACCTCATGCCAGACCTCGAACCTGGAAAGCAAGTCTGGGAAGAGACTACGGGCTTGTTAAAGGTCATGGAATACAGGTACACCAAGTTTGCTTTGGATCCTACTACCGGGAGATGGACTATGATCAGGGACTGGAGAGACTCGAGATGGACTTCCAGCAGGGCTGTGGCTCAGGGACTTACTAGCTTGGTCAAGGAGCAGAGGTTGGCTTTGATGGGCGAAAACATAATTGACATTGCTTCCAAATCTGTTGTTGGTCTTCTCGTTGACGAAGTGAGTCCTCGAAATAGTCGTAGAAGACGTCCACTGACAACGCGCAGGTCCTCCACCCATTCTATGTCTTCCAAATTGCTTCCATCATCCTTTGGTCCTTGGATGATTACTACTACTACGCTTTCGCCATCGCACTCATTAGTGTCACCAGCATCATGTCCACTCTGGTGGAGACCAGGCGGACCATCGAGCGCATGCGCGAAATGTCCCGGTTCCACTGCGATGTCAAAGTACTCGTCGACGGAGAGTGGCAGATCGTTGACTGTGCCCAACTCGTACCCGGTGACATCTTTGATTCCTCCGACCCCAATCTCGGTGTTTTCCCCTGTGACGCTCTGTTGCTGTCGGGAGATGCTATCGTCAACGAATCGATGCTTACTGGTGAATCTGTTCCTGTAAGCAAGATTCCAGCAAAAGACGAGACTCTCCGAGCCCTATCGAAAGAGACCAAGCACGGCTCGTCAGAGATTGACGCCGATCTGGCCAAGCACTACCTGTTCTCTGGAACCAAAGTCATCCGAGTCAGAGCAGGCGCCAAACCTGCTTGGGCTCCCGCAAGCGAGGTACCTGTTGCTCTAGCCATGGTCACGCGTACAGGGTTCAACACCACCAAAGGTGCCCTCGTGCGGTCTATGCTCTTCCCCAAACCGATGGGCTTCAAGTTTTACCGGGATTCGATGAACTTTATCGGTGTACTGACGATCATCGCTGGGCTGGGCTTTGCCGTCTCGGCAGTGCAGTTTGTCAGGATTGGTATCGCTTGGCATACAATCATGCTGCGAGCTCTGGATCTTATCACTATTGTCGTCCCTCCTGCTCTTCCTGCAACTCTTACTATCGGCACGACGTTTGCCATTGATAGATTGCGAAAGAGTGGCATTTTCTGCATCTCTCCGAATCGAGTCAACATCGGAGGCAAGGTCAACGTTGTCTGCTTTGACAAGACCGGTACTCTCACAGAAGATGGTCTTGACGTTCTCGGTGCGCGTACTATCGATAAGCCTGACCGCCGATTCTCCGAGCTTCACTCTGACATTACCGACGTCCCCATCGAAGGCGGAATTCATGGCAAGACCCCTCTCCTCTATGCTCTCGCTACTTGCCATGCGTTAAAGTTGATTGATGGCGAAATCATGGGCGATCCGCTTGATATCAAAATGTTTGAGTACACCGGTTGGACCTTGGACGAGGGGCAGTCGAGGCCTGTCACCAAAGGAAGCGCGGGAGGTGTGAGGCCTCAGGCCTTGGTACAGACTGTTGTGAGGCCGCCGGGTACCGATAAGTGGAGGATGGAGGATGCTTTGAAACAAGGATCAAAGGTGAGCTGATATTCCCAGCTGGAGACGAGGGGCTGACATATGTTTCCAGCATGCGCACTTCCTGGAGGTCGGTGTCATTAGAACATTCGATTTCGTCTCTGCTCTGCGAAGGATGAGTGTCATTGTTAAGAGGCTTAGATCGACAAGTATGGAGATTTACGTGAAGGGCGCGCCCGAGGTGATGCCTGACATCTGTGACCCGGCTTCTTGTCAGTACTTTGGTTTGGCAGTGGTATGTGTGCTCATATGTGTCGGCAGTCCCCATCGACTATGAAGACATGCTGTCTTACTATACCAGAAATGGTTATCGTGTCATCGCCATCGCAGGAAAGTCTATCGAGGGCCTGACCTGGCTCAAGGCCCAGCGAATGAGACGGTAAGTCCAGGTATTCTCGTTGCAAAAGTCTGCTCATGACAAACGTAGTGAGGCTGCCGAGTCCGACTTGCAGTTCCTTGGTTTCATCGTTTTCGAAAACAAGTTGAAAGCTGGAACCACCCCCAACATTCACACCCTCCGTGCTGCCCATCTCGCATGCCGTATGGTTACCGGCGACAACGTCCGTACTGCCATTTCGGTCGCTCGAGAATGCGGTCTCGTCTCGCACTCTGCCAGCGTGTACATTCCCACATTTGTCCCTGGCACCGGAAACGCCGAGGATGCCAGGATCGATTGGACGAGTGTAGACGATGATAAGCTACAGTTGGACGAGTGGTCGTTGAAACCCTTGACGAACCAGGTCGGCGTAGCAATGGACACGGCGGAAGCTGAGATGCACGACTATCAACTGGCGGTGACTGGTGACGTCTTCAAGTGGATGCTGGAATATGCCGAGTTTGAAACGATGGAAAGAGTGAGTGCGAGTGGTGACTGACGATCATGAAGCTGACAGACATCAGATGCTGGTGAAGGGCGTCATCTTTGCTCGAATGTCTCCTGATGAAAAGGCTGAATTGGTGGAACGTCTTCAAGCACTCGGTTATACTGTGGCCTTCTGCGGAGACGGTGCCAATGACTGCGGTGCCCTCAAAGCAGCCGATGTCGGCGTATCCCTGTCGGAAGCAGAAGCGTCCGTTGCTGCTCCCTTTACGAGTCGGATCCCCGATATCAGCTGCATGGTCGAGATCATCAAGGAGGGTAGGGCGGCTTTGGTCACGAGTTTCAGCTGCTTCAAGTACATGTGAGTGATGCGTGTGGGATCGAAGACGTATACTGATGCGATATCAAGGGCGCTATACTCTATGATCCAATTTGCTACAGTCACTCTTGTAAGTTGATTCGTCTCATGCGGGCGATGTGTGCTCATATCATGGCAGCTGTACTCGTTTGCGTCAAGTCTGGGAGACTTCCAGTTCCTCTACATCGATCTCTTCATCATCATTCCGGTCGCGGTTGCCAGTGAGTATATTCGCAAGCTCATGGATCCTTGAGCTGACACACCTTACAGTGGGACGAACCCTGCCCTTCCCCAAAATACACCCGAAGAGGCCGACAGCGAGTCTTGTCTCTCGAAAGGTATTAATCAGTATAATCGGCCAGATCGTCATCAACGCTGCTGTCCAGGTAGTCGTCTTTGTCTGGGTCAGGAGACAGCCATGGTGAGTTCCCCGATATGCTCAGCGGGATCCCGTTAATATGGAGCCTAGGTATACGAAACCCGACACCAACGTGGACAAGCTGGAAACAATCAACTATGAAAACTCGGCATTGTTCCTTGTATCTTGCTTCCAGTATATCTTGGTCGCCGGTGTCTTCAGTGTCGGCCCCCCATATCGCAAACCACTCTGGACTAATCGTGAGTGTCAGCCATACTGGCGACTGAACTGAACTCTATGCTGACACGACTGTGTAGCTTCTCTCGTATCCTGCCTTGTCGCCCTCGGTGCCTTCAGTACCTATATTGTCCTCTCTCCCGCCAAATCTATAGCTCTCATACTCGATCTCATGTCTCTCAAGTTTGGATTCAAGCTACAACTATTGGGAATTGCTGGTATCAACATTATCGCCAGTTTCGCTTTTGAGCGGTTTGGAGAACGACCGATCTCGAGGCTGATAGTCGGAGTGAAGAGGTGGATGTGGAGGAGAGGTAGGAGAAGGGAGTATAGGCCGATAGAGAGAGAGGTCAGATAGAAATCTATAAACAGCATCTTGAAGCATACTTATTGTACCCCGATGAACAGCATTGAACCAGTGAAAAAAGGCATGTGCCGTCTCGAACAGCTCGGCCTTCCGGCTACAGCCGCCCAGCTGCTCGACCTGGATTGAGTCAATTCCATGCGGGTTTTTCAAGACATGCGAGAATGATGACTCGCCCCGGTAATACCAACTCGGAGCCGAAGATACAGGAGTGGGGAAGGTGGAAAGAAGTTCAGATACTTCGACTCATACCTCGACTCGAACATGACACGTGTCATGCGTGCGACTGGCATCTGAATTCGCCTATATATGAAGACCTTTTTCGTCATCCCGCAAATTGTCTTCCTACTTTACACTCTCCCCTCAAAACCTGCAGACCACTCGCAATGTCTTCTGGGAAAGCAGAACAGGAACTCGCAAAGAAGCAGTACAGAGACTGGTCTTTGCCACCCGCCTTCTTGGCACGCCTGAAGGCTTCTCCAGAGGCGGTACTTGATGAATTGGTCCCTCTCAAGCCCATCAAGTCTCAGGAAAAGGAAACACTCGATGAGGCTACCCGATCGCACCCGTTCATCGACGCCATGAAGTCGACTGAGGACGTTAGGACGGAGAAGGGTGCTCTTGCTCACCAGTCTACGGATGCGCCGCTCGTTGACCTTTTCTTTGATCTTGCCCCCGGCGTTGAGGCGGAACACCTTTTCAATCTCCTAAAGGCTGCTTGGAAGGATGATGCATTGTCGTCAGTAGTCGTGGATCTTCCCACTGGTTCTATGAGCTGACTTTGCCGCTAGGACTTTGAAGATCGTTTTCCACTCTCGGTCTATCCATGGGGGCAAGGGGTACAAGGATGGTTTCTTTCGCGCTGTAGCCTGGGTATGGGAGCACCACCCCCGGACATTACTTGAAAAGTAAGCATCCTGTATGACTCCCAGCACCCGTACTCACTTCTGTAGCCTATCCTACTTGTCCTCCCACTCTCAGCGAGAAACAAGACGCTACCAAGCGTCAGAGGACGGTAGAGGAGGAGCTGAACAAGGGCAATGTGGTAGTATTGGATGATAAAGGAGACGTCGACCTTGGCAAGCCACTGGTGGAGTATTCCAGCCGTCCCCATGGCACATTCGATGAGTGAGTCTTGCCCCTGAACTGTGAACGAATGACTGACTCGTCTTGCCAGTCTTCTTGACTTGCTTGTCCTCCATATCAACGGTCAGCTTGACACTTCCTATACCGAACCGCTCAACGCCGTCGACGAAGGCCTCGCTCCTGCCAAAGCCGGGCATACCTTCAAGAAGGCCCGTCTGAGCGCCAAGGCAGAAAAGACCGAGAAGCGCGATCGAAGTGGCTTCAAAGGGATAGTTGGGGAAGCCAAGAAGCTGGAAGAGTCTAATGACAGTACTAGTGGCGCTGCCGAGAGAGAGTTTCGGGTCAAACTCTTGAAAGCTCCTGATAGTGAGTCGCAGGGCCGATGACTGGAGCGTGGACTGACAAATTGCAGTGACCCAGAAGCACCACCTGCTCGCCGAACGTCTGGCATCAGCTTTGAAGGACGATGAAAAGTTTCAAGCTCTCTACATCACCGTCGCTCACATCTTCCACAAGTATCTCAAGGCCGACCTTCAGCTGCTTGACCAGCACAGAGAGGCGCTCCGAGCACCAACCGAAAAGACCAGATACTCTCCTCACTTGCTCAAGTTGTCTTTTGCTGCCAAATGGGCTCCAGCGCCGGGCAAGTCAGCAGACAAGACGCTTCACATCGCAACTGGTCTTTCGGCTCTTCTCTTCCCCAGTTTCGATGGTTATTGGGCGAGGCAGAAGCTTCAGAAAGAGGTATTGACACCGTTGAGAGAGGCATTGGCGGTGCCCGAGGTTGCTATGTCCAACAGGTCTTGGAAGATCAACTACACAAAGGTATACACCTCCCTCCATACCTATGACCATTGTTGATAGTCGCTTAGGTCCCATCGCGAGCCATGAGTCGCTATGCTCAGAGTTTCGCGGACAACGATCCCAAGGGTTTCCAAGCCTACCTTGAGAAGGTCGCCTCGGGGTGAGTCCCCCCGTTCATCATACATGAATCATACTGACCGATTGATCAGACGGGATACGATATCGGGTGCTAGCATGATGCCCCATGAGCTTTTGCTCAACGGTCAGTCTTCTTTGGACCGGCTCCCGCAGGCATATATTGACGTTCCTTCTAGTGCTCACCAAAGACAACAAGTGGGTCATATTGAAGCAGCTTGCAGGCCTCCAGTGGGCTACACTCGTCGAATCCATTCGTTCCAGCTCCAGCAGTGCTCTTTCAAACTGCATCGCCATCGCTGATGTATCCGGTTCTATGGGCTCAACAGAATACAACGACATGGGCAGTGCCAAGGCCCCCCAGCCCATACTTCCCTGTATCGCCCTCACTCTTCTCCTTTCTGAGCTTTCGGAAGCGCCATGGAAAGGTCACTTCTTTAAGTTCTCCGAGGACCCAACGTTTGAATATATTGACCCAGCCCTTCCCCTCGCTGAACGCGCGGCGAAACTGAACCGCTCAAACTGGGGCGGGTCTACTCATTTCGCCAAGACGTACGAGCTCATCCTCCAAAACGCCAAGAAGGAAAAACTCGCGCCAAGAAAAATGGTCAAGAAGCTCTTTGTCTTTTCAGACATGCAGTTTGATAGTGCTAGGAGCGCTAGCTATGGCGAGACGGAACATCAGGTGATGAGGCGGCGTTTCAAGGAAGAGGGGTATAAGATTCCAGAGTTGGTTTACTGGAACCTAGCCACCCGGGAGAAGGGGACGCCGAAGCCTGCCAAGTCGAATGTCGAAGGGGTGACGCTCTTCTCTGGTTTCTCTGGTGCGCTCATGAAGTTTATCTTTGGCGAGGAGGCGGTGGATGAAGATGTCGAGGATAAGGACGATGAGCTTCAAGGGTCATTTGAAGCAGTCAAGATTGGAGAGCATGACGAGGGGGGCAATGGTACGGTGAACGATGGGGAGAAGAAGAAGAAGATAAAGGCCAACCCTTTGGACCAAGTTCGCAAGGCTATTGGCATCGAGCCATTTGCCGGGCTGAAGGTGATTGATTGATTGTTCAGACCCATACAAACATGTTGTATCCTGTATTTATATATCATAAATAGACCACCGGCTGTGACCAGTACTATGTATCACTAAGAGAGCCGTGATGTGGGCGTGACATGAACTACATACGGTACATACATCCAACTCGAGGTCAAGAGTCTTTCAACTTTGGTAAAGCAAGGTTGTCGTGATGACGTTGACAGCTCAGGGAAATTTCTCCGCGGGCGTCGGGGGTCGGCTAGTGCTGGGGTCCTCTAATTGCCCTTTGTCTGCCCCCAGCTTTCCCCGTATTCGATGATGGCAGCATCATGTTGTGACCGAGGTTTGCGGGCTGTACATTTTAGACATCAGCCTGTAGCTGTGCTCCGGGAGGGCTGCTCTTACGTCAGGGGTACGAGAGCCCTTGTTGGGGTATCGTACATTTCTTGGGGCCATCAGTCCTCTGCCCACAGCCCCAGGCGAGCACAAGTGTAGTATCGAGACCAGGCTTTGGAACAGGTTTGGAACAGAGGTGCTCGAGGCCATACCCCGGACATGCTGGGCCCGAGTTGGACGACCTTGACATCGGGGGGCCATTCAGGTAATGGTCGATTGGAATTGGAGGGTACAAACCGCCCGATAATGCATCCATGCGCATGCACGCGCCCTCGCTGCCCCATGCATGCAATTTGGACTGGACTGTTCCCCTTTCCCCTGGCTGTGCCGCTGGCTTGGACGGCGAGCCAGCAAATAGCCGAGGATGGCAGGGTCGTATAGAGTTGCTTGTTTGCATTTTTGCAGCACAGCCGCGTAAAAGCGTCGCCCTCCGTCACGCGCAATTTCGCTCCACCTGGGCCAAGCGCCAGCCGTAATGCCCCGCCATGCATCTCTATCTTCTCCCTCTGCTTTATACACTGCATACACCCCTCCCAGCCCCAGCCACAGCCACAGCCACCCTTACGGAACTGCCCTGGCACAACAAGAAGCATCGCAGGAACGCGCCCCAGAGCCTGGACCAGCAGTGCGTGCACCTCTCACTGTGCTGCTTTTGTCTTTTTTATTTCTATCTCTTTCCACGTCTTCTGTTCTTTTCCACCTGCCCCGCCTGGCCCCTTCTGTGCACCGCGCAACCCAGAGTTGACCCGCCTCAGCCCCGCCCCACACACACTCAATCACCAGCTTACGGCACTTTTGCCGCCTCAAAGGATTCGAAACAAGCTGTACGCGTTCGAGCGTCATCTCGCAGTCTAGACGCCCCGCCTACGCCTCCATTCTCCCTTGCCTGGATCTCATCAATTCTCCTCGGCTTTTGGTCACAGCGCAGAGTCGAGACCCGCCCACTATCCCGTAGCGCGTAGTCCCGGTAAAAGGCTGTAACCTCTGAGCATTCGGCTGTCAGTAATCTCGCCTGCATTGGAGAGAAAGCGCTGATCACATTCATCTCTCTTCAGTCAATCTATCAACTGCACTCACTTCGTGTCCTTATCTACCCTCACGACTTCGACGATCAGTTTCACACATTCACGCCTTCTTTCGTGCTCCGAGTGTACACTCTGCATTGCACGTGCTGCAATCTCTTATCTGGCATTGACGTGAGTGGGAGTCTCCAGCTATATATATCGGTCTGACTCTCTGCTAGCCATACCCAAGTACCGCACCATGTCCATTCCCGACAATCCCTTCCAGCCCCCCACAAATCCCAACCTTCCCGCACTCCAAGTTGAGCCTGCGGACCACAGCGAGCAGGGCAGTCCTATCCGCACCTCTAGTGGCTCAGATTCTCCCCCTCGCCTCGGCACCTCTCCCGGGACTGGTGCCGCCTCCCCACTGCCTCCTTCAGGGGGCTTGCAGCCGCCTCTCCCTGCTGTAGCGAGGACACCACGACGTGTGCAATGGACTTCCGACTCCCACATTGTTCAAATGCCGACCGACCCCTCTCCCCAGGCAGCAGACCCGCAAACACTAGACTCCACCAATATCGACTCGTTCCGTGATGCGCTTGAGCGCCACCGATCTGGTGTTAGTGGCCTTGCTGCATCGCGCCGTGGTAGACCCGGCAGTCAGCTCAGCAGGCAGAGCAGTGCGAGTGATACTCTTACTCATCACGACGAAGAAGATTACGATTACCGTACTGACGTCGATCCTCCCGAGCGTCCACAGATCGAGAGAGAGGGGAGTGATGAGACGGCCTACGAAAACAACCTGCTCGATCATGGCATGCGCGATCATCTCTCTCATGCGCAATACATTGCCCCAGGAGAGACTGACGGTCTCCCCAGCATCCCACAACAGTCGGCCAATCCCGGTGAGACAGACGCGGCTCGGGATCTGGTGCGAGCGCATACCGGCAAGTGGGGTGTTTTGAGAAGGCGAGTGAGGGGTGCAGGTGGTGTGAAGGCCGCGCTGGGCAGTAATCTTGCCGAGCGAAGGGAGGGAGGGGATGCGGAAAAGCAAGGTGAAGAGGGAAGGGCTTCGCAAAATGCGTTCGCTGCGAGATATCCCGAGCCCAGGCGTCCTTCAACCGCAGGGTTGGGTATGAGCGGAGTCCCCCAAGGAACCTCGGTACTCTCATCCCTTCTTGCGCTTTATGGACAACAGCCAGGCAGTGGTGGCCAGTCCGGCAACACGTCCGCCGCCAGCTCTCGTCGAGGGTCAGATGATGACCTGTCTGAAGACGACCGCAGGTCCAACCAAGGCAGGCATGACTGGAGGAACATTACAAGGCGATCCACCGCGGAAGAAGAAGGTCCTCGGGAAGTCCAGATCCACGACGAGTCTCATCCCGCCAATGTCGCGGCCGGCATCGAGCAGCCCATGTCTCCTACTTCGCCCACTTCGCCCATGAGCGGTGGGGACGACGACTATATCCGACCGGACGGCACCCCGGCTTCTCCCGGGTTCAAAGGTTTCTTCAAACGAGCCAAGGACCAAATTCAGTACACTCGTCCCGACGCTGCGCGTAACGGTGCAGGAGTGTTTGGTGCTCTCATTCAGAACACTCAAAACTTGTCTGGCGCTGCTACACCAGCGGCTTCTACTTTGGCGCCAGCTGCGAAGCGACCGGGCTACCAGCTTAGCAGATACTCTATGCCTGACGCTAACGCCGTGCCAAAGGGTCCGTGGCGTCCACCTTCTCGACCGAGCTCGAGAGCCGGTTCTCGTCCCGCTTCTGTTCATACTTCTGCCTCTCGCGACGGAGATTCTCTCAGAGAAAACAACACCGAACAGGGTAACAACTTTGGGCACAAAAAGGCTGTGTCGAGCGACGACATTATGGGTATGCGCCAGGGCAACGAAAGTGCCGTGTCGCTCAAGAAGAAGCGCCCAAAGTCTGGTCTGCACCTTGACCAACTCGCTCACCTTCCTGTTGCCGCTGTAAAGGGCGGTGTCAAGGGTGGCGGCAAGGCTATCAAGAGCGCAGACAAGTGGTTGCTGGGCGGCAAGTCGCCTTTGAGTGGCTTGACCCCTGATGAGAAGGGCGGCCATGATTACTTTAGTCGACCATTGACCGAGGAGGAAAGGAAGAGGAAGGAGTGGGAGGCAGAGAAGAAGAAGAGGAAGAAGGCTAGGGACGCGAGGAAGAAGCAAGAGATTTTCGTATGTCCTTGAGTGTGCACCAAGGGGCCCGTGCTGACAAGGGGTAGATAATTCAACACGTTGCCGCTATTCTGTCCAGGCAGCAGTTCTTGCTCAAGCTCGCTCGTGCTTTGATGATGTGAGTATCAATCCAGCTTGTGACAATCATTGTTGATCTTTTCTAGGTTCGGTTCACCTTCTCATCGTCTCGAGACTCAGATCCAAGCCACGGCCAAGGTCCTTGAACTCAACTGTCAAGTCGTCTACCTTCCAGGTACCATGTTGGTCTCTTTCGGTGACGATGCTACCCACACCTCCGAGACCAAGTTCTTGAAACAGACCACCGGTCTCGACTTGGGCAAACTCCAAGCTACTCATCACCTCTACTGGAACGTCGTACATGACAAGATGTCTGTCGAGCAGGCTAGCAAAGATCTCGATGTCCTCATGACTTCCCCCGTGTACTACACTTGGTGGCAGACTCTGATCATTGGTGGTCTTTGTTCTGCCTTCATTTGTGTCATGGCTTTCTACGGGTAAGCATCTTGGCTCACGTGCAACATGTAATCTAACCACGCCACAGCTCTTTCGTCGACGCCCTCATGTCTATCCCACTCGGTGTCCTCCTTGTCGGTGTTCAGATGCTCGCGGCCCGAAACGACATGTTCTCCAACGTCTTTGAAATCACCATCGCCACCGTTATCTCGTTCATATCAGCTGCTCTGGCGTCGAGTGGAGTGTTTTGTTACACTGCGCTAGTCAGTGGTGGTGTCGTGCTGATATTGCCGGGCTACATCGTCTTGTCTGGTGCTTTGGAGTTGGCCTCCAGGAACATCACAGCCGGTGCCGTGCGAATTGGATACAGTGTCATTTACTCGCTGTTCTTGGGTTTCGGTATCTCAATGGGTGCTGTGCTGTATTCCAAGATCACATCGCAGGATGTAAGTACCTGCAAAGGCAATGGTATGGGACGCTCATGGTTCGGCTCTAGGTGCTCAATGCTAGCGACTACACATGTGCCAACACGCACGATAATCACGCCTGGTATCAGATCACGCCTTCCGCTTATTGGTGTAAGTATATATGCGGCGGAGAATAGGTACATGCTGATTCACAAAATAGATTTCCTTTGTGCTCCTGGATTCTCGGCTGGTCTTTCCCTCAGAAATCAGCAACCCCTGTGGGCCAAGGAGTTCGTGAGTCATTTCCGGCTCAGTTCAATGCTTGTCCTGACCATTCTCTAGCCAGTCATGGTTTTGATCTCGTGTGCTGGCTGGACTAGTAATCACTTTGCGTCCTTCGCTTTCAGCGGCCGATCCGATTTGACCTCGGCCATTGGCAGTTTCGTTGTCGGTACATTGGGAAGCATCTACGGCCGTTTCTCCAATGGTTCGTCGTTCCCTGTCACTGTCCCCGGTATCCTCATTCAGCTGCCGTCTGGTCTTTCCAACGGTGGTATTTTCAACTTTGCCTCCGAGTCTTCCAGCGGCTCCAGTACCGCTTACAGTGATGGATTCTCTGTGGCCGAGCAACTTGTAGCTGTCGCTATCGGATTGACGTGAGTTCAGTCTTTTCTGTAATGTATTATGGCCTGCTGACGACTACTTTAGTGTCGGTCTTTTCGTCAGCGCTGCTATGTGCCATCCCTTCGGTGGTGGTAGGAGACGAGGAGCTGGTATCTTCTCTTTCTAAGCAGTTCATCCTCAATACCTTCTCTCACTCGCGGACATTGGGTTGTCCCCTCCAGCCATGCCTTTAGCCGGCATCATGTACATAGATAGATTCTAGATGTGGACCCCTGTGTAGCTACAATTTCTTTTGATCAACACTATCACGACTCCTGCTATGCTGTTCTATACTTCATTCACCGAACAGGTTAAGCACAACGTATTTGGATATCTACTCATGATTTCGCTGTTGAAGCCATGGATCACTCCTATAGACATAGCGATGCGTCATGATAGCCTATGTAGAGCCACTGCACTCTGAAGGTTCTTCGTAGGACATGGTATAATTGCTTGTCCATAGATTGCTTCAAAGTCGCTGACAAGTAAGAACATGATACTACAAGCGGCGCCCGAGATACTTGATATACTGTACATACAATACTCGGGACCGCGCGCGATATCGTGATGAATGGCCCTAAGAGACCCCGAATGTACAAGTACAATTGTATCTTGCGCCCCTGCGCTTATAAAAGGAAAGGAAACGGGAAAAAGAAAACCCTCTGAAGAATGAAAGAAAGGAACAAGACAAAAAGACCCTTGAAGCTAGACTGGGTATGTCAGAGTCGTGGGAACGATGACCAGTCCATCCTCTCGAACGAGGAACACGGGTGTCTTGCGGTCGGATGCAACCTGCGGCTCGGCTGCTGCCATGACTTCCGAGCTGGAAATGCTCGTCAGTGTCGGGTGTTCGAACAACACGGACAACGTACCATCTAACTTCGGTATGAGTTGAGGGGACGTCGCCATAATACACCAAATGCTTTGCACCCCCGCCCTTGTTCTTGGCAAAATTCTTTCCATATCTACGAGTTTTGAACGACATTAGCCCTCAATTCTTGAGTTACATTCTGAACTTGATTCACATGGTGACGAGGGGAGTGTTGGAAAGGGAGGTGTAGTGATGCGCATACTCTTTCGGCGTCTCGGCGCTGAGGTTGGACGGTAACAGTCGATGAGCCGCAGGGAAGGGTGCGACGGGTTCAAAGTTTTCGTAAGAGGTCATTGGCGGTGTGTAGAATGTGTACGACGCTTGTTCGACGCCGATGATACTCCTGCGAACGGATGTCAGTAACAGAACACGAGCATAAATTGGACCCACCAAACAGCATTGTCTCCCACAGGCATTGTCCAAAACATCCTTGGTGAATGATCCTCTTGCGCACTCATGGCCTTGGCCATCGTCGGCAGGTACTCGTAAGAACCTGATCCTGCGGAATCCACCGACGGCCTCTTCCTATGCACCGGCCTCGCCAAGGGTCCCTTCCCTATAGACGCTGTCCTCTGTCTCCTAACAGGCCCGCCATCCGTAGAAGGCAAAGGCACCTCTCCACTGCCGGGAGACATCAGAGGGTGTGCATGTCCCGATGATCTTTGAGCTTGATGGCCAAAGTAGTCAAGCGAGGATGAAGAGCTCACGGGGCTTGAGGGTGTAGAGGGAAGCTTGACGCTGTTGTTGGTGTGAGGTGTCATGGGAAGGACTCCAAAGCGTTGTTGAGGAGTGTTGGGAACACTGCTGGCTTTGGAACCATTCTTGCTCGCAGCCGTGACGGGGACGGTGGCCCACCGTCTTTCAGCTTTGACATTATGCTGCTTGACAGAGTCGTGCACGCAGGACAGCCACTGTCCTCCATATTTGGGGTCCCTCTGGAACCTTTCCGACGTGGAGGGATCATGTATCTCAAAAGCAACCTTTTGCAGTTGCGACACGAGATCACTACCAAGCTCCCCAGGCGGGAAAACCGCATGCCCATCCTGATGGATACCGTCCATGCCTACCGCATCTGCATCCGACTCTATACGTCGGATCACCAGATTTGGAGATATGGCTCCCGTTTGCAAAGACTGCAGCACTACAGTCGAGTTGTATCGTATAGCAGGGTGCAAAGTGGTGGTCGGAATGGTGTTTGCGGGCGGACTCGGCCACCCTAGGCTCGGAGGCCGCCTTCCACTAGGTCCTGATGGCAAGGAAGGGTCGACAAGCCAGATGATCCACGACTCCCAGATGGCACTGTCGACCGTGAAACCTGGAACGCCGTCATGGGCGTGCGAGCGCGGGGGTGGTTTCGCGCCAGAGACTGGTCGGCCGTCAGATCCGGGCATGCAAGTAAAGTCGGGAGTGACGGAGAGGTAGCGGGTGGAGGTAGTCTGTGATTTGATTCGGTTGAACAAGGCGATAGTTGTGCCGTGGTTGATAATGACTAGCGCATGGTCAGCGACTGGCAAGCTCTTAGGAATAGACTCACATTCGCTGCTTTTCGCCGTAGACCTTTTCTTGCTCGGCTTGCTAATGATCTTGATATCTTTACTCTCAAAGACTCCAATGACATTTTCCCCTGCCCCTTCCTTGCCCCCCTTCTGGCCCCACCCATTGGCCCCGTATCGACTAATCGGTGCTTTCACCGTGACCAGCGCTCTCACATCCTTTCTCTTCGGATCTTGATCACTTATATGCAAATTCTTGCCCGCCACACATCCCAAAAACGGTCTATCATCCGGCCCCATGCCGTTTATATTGATCTTTTCGTCGATATTGGAGCCGTCCAAATCTGTCCAGCTGATAGCGGCGTCCTTGACTGGTATCTCGGCCGTGAGACTGATATTGACACGAGGCGGTTGGAAAGGAGAGACCGCTGAGCCATCTGGAGACCTGGTCCACCAGCCAGAGCCAATGAGCATCGCCTGCGGATGCGGGCAAAGGAATCGTTTCTCTGTACCATAACTTTTCTGCCCCACTTTGGGGCTCATGACGATGATTCGTCTTTCACCCATTCCAAGACGATTAGGCGAGCGGATGTATTGCCTGATAGCCGAGTCGATATCACCGCTCCCGACAGATGTTGGAGAAAAGGACGAATTCCGCAGAGGCGAGGCGCTAAAGGACGGCCGGTTGCCTGTAGCGTTGGCAGAGGGATACGCCGGGTCCGCCTTGGCAGTTGGCCCGTTAGAAGTAGCCGCTGGCGGTGGCAAGGCTCTACTCAGGGGCCTTGCCCAGTCGTCCAACACCCCTCCCCCTCCCCACCCACTTCCGCTATCCGGCACATCCTGCGAACACAAACTCGATGATGAGCTCGCCCGGCTACCCATCATCAGATCACTGAAGCTTTTTGTCGGCTTCAGTGGCTGATGCGTCCCAAGTTCAGAGGGAGAGATGGTGCCGATATGTGGTAGCCCCTGCATCTGAGGGAGTGGTTGCGGTACAGGATGATGCAAGGCGTTTTCAGGAGCAACATGCTCAGAGACAGGCGTGGGATAGAAGAAGCCTGGAAGCATGCTTTGGGAAAATACGTCGAGACCCTGATGGGGTTGGGGAGGAGAAATGTCGTTTGAGCTCTGAGATGACCCATAATCCATCGATTGCGGGATAAAACCATACTGAGGGACGTAAGGTATATTGGGCGCCTGATAGTTGCTCGGCGTTGCCAGAGAGACATTCTCCTGACTTGACCCCTGGTCAATCCCAAGCCCTGTTGAGGGAGCCGAGTATGGCGACTGAGATTGCGTATTCATATACCCACCACTCGTATCTAGAGCCAGGGACGGGCGATAGTTGTATGACGGAGGCGGCATCTCTGCAAAGCTGCCGGTGTTATTCGTGCCGGTATTGTTGCTGTTGCCATTTGAGACAAAGTCCGAGTTGTTGAAAAAGACGCCAGAGAGGTCGAGCATGCCCTGGCCACTCGGGTACTCGGACTGCTTCTTTTCGTCCTGCTGATTCAGCTGCTCTGGCGAAAACTCGACCGCCTCGGTCCCATACTGCGTCACATTAGCCATCAACCCAGTCGATTGTGGAATGTATACCCACGTTCTGCCACTGGTAAGACATTGGTTCTTCGTCTGGTGCGCTTGGTATGGTCGGCAAACACGATATGGACCTGAAGCGCTTCCTGCTACCGCGCTGCTGGGGGATGCGCACTACAGCACTGTGCGGGCGCTTGCGCGAGTCCCAGGATGATTGCGGCGCCGAGTGGTGGGAGAGACGATGATTGTAGGTAGAGTGGAGGGGCACGGGCAGATGGGAGTGGAGGTTGGTGGTGTCGACCGACGGCCTGGGGAGGCGGGACCTGTCAGGGTGAGGGAGATTGGGGATGCGGAAGAGGAAGGGTGAAACGAGGTCGGAAGGAGGGTGGCCTGAGTTAGGGGAAGACGTGGTCAGCTTGCGCGTGTTTCCTTGGTGTGTGCAGATGGCGTGAAGTGGAGCTTGATCGCTACCAGGAGCCTTTCCAGGGAGGAATAGATCGATTGAACAGCAAAGGTGGGGGCAGGAGTGAAGATAGAAAACGGTGGTGCACAGTGGGAAAAGATAGAGGCCAGAAGGAGGGTATCATGGACAGTTCTCAGCTGTCCAGAGGACAAGCAGAACAGGGCCAGGTATCAGACCCAACTTCGAAAGCGATCGGACTCCATTGTCGCCCTTGCACACTCCGGTCATGATATGACACTCGAAATGCTGTAACGTATTGCCGGTCGCCCAAGGAGGCAAGGCCCCAAGGTGGCGGGTCATGGCCGGGCTGAGGGGAGGTGCGGGAGAGCAAAGGAGAGGCTCAGTTCTGCAATTGTGTAGAACACTGTCATGAAAAGGGTCTCGTCATGCAGCTCCCACGCGAGAGTGCTGCCCATTGGGCGTCTTGGGAAGTCACCCGGCCAGAAGGATATGGGCAAGACATCATGAAAGGGATTTGATTTGTAAACAAATCGTCTTTCATTGTCCTCTGGCCTTAGGTACGCTTGGTGACTCGTATTGTGTTCTCACAATAAGTCCGTCGGATTCCCAAGGATCGACGCAAGACTGATAAGGAGCTCTGCCACGGACGAAAGGTCGCACAGAAGCAACGAAAGAAGGATCTGATATGGCCCAATGGACTTACAGGTATCTCGCCGAAGGTCGGCCGGTCGTATAGAGACACTTGCTTGGTAGACGCTGCAGGCACTGTGAAAGGTGGATTGTTGACGGTCGGCGTTCACCTGGGAGTATGAGCTGGTTGCAAGAAGAGGGAGGGAGAGAGGGGGCGTACTGGTCGTACAGGTTACAAAAGAGGCGGGCGGAACTGCGTGCGTGGTCGGTGGCGGTCGGCGGTCGGCGGTCGGGTGCTCGGGGGTGTGTGGCGCTGCTGCTCTGCTCGGTGTGTGGCCGTGGGGGCTGTCCTGGGGGTGTGCACGGGGAGATGTATGCTCGAGAGCGCGTCCGGGAGCTTTGAGGACGACACGGCGCACTCGCAACCGGTCGGCGGTGGTCGCGACACATACTCAGGCACCCGCCCATCTTGCAATCTTATGACCTGTAACAACAATAATGCAATGCCATTTCTATCGCTTCTACATCCAAAACTATGCACTCAACACGGCGCTAATCTCCTGGCCGTCCTGACCATCCAGCCCCCGCTCCTCCTGGCCCTTGGCACCCCATCCGACCCAGATACTCTGCAACGCCGCCTTCTCCTCTGCCGTCAGACCGTCCTTCTCGGCCGCTCGCACCAACGCCCTCACAGCATTCTCCTCGTACTCTACATCCTCTGTAGAGCTCTTCAAACCCTCGAGCAAAGCCGACAAAACGCCCTCCCTCTTCAAGCCCTGGAGAAGCGTCTCATTAGGCCCATTCTTCTCCGTCTCCTTCATGTTGGCCTCCAGGAGGTTGACAACTTCCCCAGGAATCTCGCCCTCGTACTTTTCTCCACTCTGCATGACCAAAGTGCCTATCAAGAATGCCATCTTTCTCCTCACCACCACCTCCTCGTCCTGGACACCCTTCTTGAGCACAGTGTAGCCTTGAGAAGCAGCGAGGGCGGGAGAGGCGAGGGGCCAATGCTTGAGCGCAGAGGACAGGGCGTAGGTGGCTTTGGCGCGCACGGCAGAAGTTTGGGGAGCAGTAGAGGGGTAGAGAGTGTTGAGAATTTGTGGTAAAGCGTCAAAGATGTACAGCTGCGCCCATGTCAATATGGGCCACCATCTGGGAGTATCAACTTACAGCGGCCTGGGCCTTGAGGTTGTTTTGAACGGCAGTACCAATAATCCAGCAGGTGTGAGCCACGATCTCGGGGTGAGGAGACGCCAACAGCGCAAGCAGAGGCTGCCAGAGCTTCAAGATGGGCATGTTGTTGGCATTATCAATCAACTCGATGAGCTAAATCACTCGTCAGCACAACATCTAGCGATAGAAGCAAAAAGAAACGCACCATCTCAAAGTCATCCAGAGCTTCCACCCTCTCTTCCACGGGGTTCTCCTCATTCGAAGCATACGCAATCTTTTCCTTCATCGTGATACTGTCGCTCTTGCCCATGATCAGATCCAACATCTCCGTTGTCAAATCCTCCCTCTTTGCCCCGCTCGGCAGAGGCAGAGGCTCTCCGTCTTTCGGCGTTCCTGGGCCCGGTGTAGAGGCGGGGGAGAGGTCGGGAACGGGGGCAGGAGCACGGTCATTGGGATGAAGAGCAGAGGTGCCAGAGTGGGTAGAGACGGGGTTGAAGCGGAGCTGCAGTTGCTCTGCCTGTTCGCTGGCGGCCTCCTGGGCAGCTTCGGGGTTTGTCGAGTTGGCGATGGACCATTTGAGGAGTTCGTTGAGGTCGGGCATGGTGTTTTGTGAGAGTTGTAGATGCAAAAGAGAAAAGTTGATGCGCTGTGGAATATTTCAGATTCGGGTGGCAATCGCCAGAAGAAATCTCTTTCGTCACACAGCGGCCAGCTCCGCCCACGCGCTTCTCTTGCATCCAGCGCGACGGACTTCCGGACTTGCGGCTCTTTTCCCTGTCTGTCAACAACCCAGGTATCAGAAAGCATGTGGCTGAGCGATTCCCAAAGTAAGCTGGATAGCCATAGGGAGTTAGCATGCTGATGAGTGCGACCTGCAGAAATTGGTATTGCCCTCGTGGCATTTGGCATCTTCTTCCAGTTCCTCGGCAAGTTGCATCATGACTGTTCGACCGACCCAACTGACTTGTATCTCCTAGGAATAATTCTCTTCTTTGACGGCCCCTTCCTCGCCCTCGGAAACGTCAGTCATCCATTCCCAACGCGTCCAAGACCAAAGCCATCCTCAACGCCCAAGACTAACCCGTGGACTATAGATCCTCTTCCTCTCAGGACTGCCGCTCATCATCGGTCCAACCAAGACATTCTACTTTTTCTCCAGGCGTGAAAAGTGGAGAGGGACTCTGTGTTTCTTTGGCGGAATGCAAGTCGCGCCGACACACCTGTGTTATTGAAAGCCGAAATGATCAGCTCGCTAACGAGGGTATAGAATACTTGTGTTTGCCAAGAGACCGGTCTTTGGGATCGTCATCGAATTCGTTGGATTCGTGGGGCTCTTTGGGTAAGCTCCCCCCCCCCCCCGGCCTTTGACTATGCGAAAGACATTGCGGCATCAGACTGACCACGTTCCCACAGCTCATTCTTCCCCGTCATCCTCCAAGCCCTCCGTCAAGCACCAGTGATCGGACCAGTCTTGTCGCTGCCATACATTCGCGGGGTACGTCACCACCTTTCTCACGCGCTCACGCGCTGTATACTTGAGAAGCAAGCTGATCAGTGGTTTCAGGCCGCAGACAAGCTGGCGGGTGTGCGTCAGAGTGCTGTGTGACAGCCAAAGAAGGGCTAGACGCGTTCTGTCAAGATATGAAGGACTGTATCATAATAGGGTACATTGTCATGCAGAAATCACAAGACACATGCGGCTCCACATATCCTGTTCGAGTACTGCAGTACGCCATCTATGCGGTTACATTGAGGAGAGTTACAAACAGTTCTGGCAGACACTTTGGATCAGCAAGGGGATCGCGAAAAGTAAGGGCGAGAGCAGCGCGTATATAAAGAGTAATACTAAGACAGTGGTGGCGAGACGAGAATCTATGAGTTATGATGTAGACAACGATTTTGTGGGAGAAAGCTTCTATGTAGAGAAAATGTTCTTGATAGAACCCAAAATTAGAGAAAAATATGATAAAAACACCTGCCCCCTTTCGCAGGAGGCACACCATCTAGAATCAAAAGACGACGCAAGGCTACCGATCCTGCCTGAATCCTCCCCACTGATCTCTCTCCGAACTCTCCAACAGCGGCTTGAAAGCGTCTTCTGTGAATCCGCCAGTATCCTTCGGGCTCGCCTTGACTGGCAAGACGGCAGCATGATAAGGCCTCTCCTCCTCCATCGCTCCCTGTTGTCCTCCGGCGCCTACATCCGTGGCTCCACCACCACCTGCACCCGGCCCATTACTGTGATTTAGAGGTTCACCGGTGGGATACGGATTTGAGGGGTATTGGTTTTGAGAGTCGGAAGGGTAGGCTGGTTGTGGCGCGAACGCGCGATTGGGCAAGGGAACCGATGGCCAAGCACCTTCCGCTCCGCCTACTTCCTCTTCGTTATCCCCAAACCCGAACCCGCCATTGACGCCATTGGTCCCCATTCCCCCACCTGTGGGATGGAAGCCCCCCTCCCCATTGACGCCGCCCAAAGGCGAGCCCGAGAGAAAGAAGCCCGTATTCGGCGGTGGCGTATTCCAGGACGAAGCGGGGGCTGGCGGGGGCATCCCCGTGGAGGCGATAGAATTGGAGATGGACGTGGAGGGGGGTATTGGACGGTAGATGGGGGGTTGAATGGGGTGATTTATGGTCTGCGACAGCTTGGCCTGAGGAGCGTGAGTGGGAGGGAGATGGGAATGGAGATGGGACTTACGTGGAGCTCACGGATATCGTTGCCCTGTTTGCCTGCGTGGACGCCATTGAGGGTGGCGATGAGGTCTTCTATGCTGGCCATGGCGGATGGATAGAGGAATGGGAAATGATAGAGAAGATGAGCGGAGACAGCTTCCGACACCCGGCTACTACGTTTCCTTTCTCAAAATCGCGCATCGGCATCCTCCGGGTTTAGCGCCATTCATGCTTCACTCCGATTATCCCTCTCACTCAACCCTGCCTCTATCGCGCCAGCCCATCTCCCCCTCCCATGTACGTCCGCGCCCTCGCCAGGCATGCAGGTATACTGGGGGATGTCATATTGCCCACTCGAGCAGGTGCATGGTCGGCTCGCCTTCTTCATTCGGACCGAATCCTTTGATCACCTCATCCCTTTCACCCCTCGCAACAGCCCTCCGCTTGGCCCCTCTACCCTTTTTCCTCCGACCTCCGACCGATTCTCGGTAGTCTCCTGTCTCTCTTGGTTACATATGTTGCAAGGCGTGTGATTCACCCCCACCGCTACATAGACTGATTAATCAGGCCTCTCCCCGCTCTGCTAGTCTTCCCATGAAAACACTATGATCAATGAGACTAGATACTTATCTATGGTCTAGTTCCGAGTCCTCTGTCAGTGACAAAGGAGAGCTGGGTTTGGCGCAACGATATGCTGTATTAGACAGCCAATGGTCAGCAATGGCAGCCTTGGATGAGCCCGACCATACATGATGCATCATGATGCTCTGACAACAGATATCGAATTCACTCCAACCCCTCCCTCCGCCTCCACTCTCTCCTGACAACCTCACACCTCTCTACCACTCCCCTTCCCAGCCCTTCCTCTTCCGCCCTCTCCCACTGGTCAACTTCTCCATACCCCACCTTGGTCTTTCCCCACCTTGTCGAGATGACCTTGTATTTCTGCGCGGGCGCGGGCGGAGATGGGGGAAGGAGGTAGAGGGCAGGGATCAGAGCGGCGTAGAGCATGGGGAGCGCGCCTTCGGAAGCGTATACTGGGTGGTAAGGGGAGCCGATCAGACGGGCCTGTGGTTGTTCAGCTTTATATCACTTGTATGCAAAGAGGGCGTACAAAGTAGAATAGACACCAGTTGAAGAACATCTTGATCTTGACCCACCACATGATGGTGCCCAGTCCGGCCGCGAAAAAGTTGGTAGCGACACACCCCGGATCCACTGTCAACACCCTGACCTCTCTCACGTTCTCCTCTCCTCTCCCCTTCCTCGTTGAACCCGCATCACCTTCAGACTCTACCTCTCCATACTCTTTGTCGAGCGCTGCCATGGCCAGGTCGCCCATATACTTGCTCGCACCGTACGTGCTGGGATAGTCCAAGAGCATGTAATCGTCCAGCGGATGTTTGGCCAGTTTGGAGTACCACGCTGTGCCGGAAGAGGTATAAATGACCCTTGGAGAGAAGGGGAGATCGACGGGAGAGCGGCGAAGGAGAGGGATGAGTTCCTTGACCTGTACATTCCATTAGCAATACTCCTTGCACAGATCCCAAGCACATACCATGATGTAAGGAGCTAAAACATTCGTTGCCCAGACCAACCCTCTCTCTCCATCTTCGGTCGTTGCTCCTTGAATCTCCTCGTTGTAGTTGGGCTGGCTCAACGCGACGAGCATGCCTTCCAAGCAGATCTGCTTGATAAACTTGTAGTAGGAGAGACCTGCGAAAGCTCCCATACCGGCATTCAAATACAGCGTAGTGATATGGGGGTATCTTGATCAAGTCAGTCAAGATAGCACTGGCGCAAGGGTGAGAGAAGCCTTACTTTTCACCGAGCTTTTCGCAGAATGCCAACGCGCCATACTTCCCACCCGGGCTATCCAAATCAAGGCCCTCCCATTCTATCCGCAGTCCCTCCCTCCATCCCGGCTTCTCCCCGACCTTGCCCTCCTTCTTTCTCTTTGCGAGCTCTTCCAAGTGCCCAAAGATGAGACGGTCTCGAGCTTCGAGCGCTTTCGTCTCTGAGCGGCAGGCGAGAATGATGGTGAGGGTAGTGTTAGGGGGCGATGATTTGGTGGGCTCGGCAGACTTGGGGGATTGTAGCAGGTGTTGGAGAGAGGGAGCGAGGGCGCTCTGTTGGGGTGTTGAAGCGCGCATGGGCACGGAAGAGGGGAGAGAGAGGTTTGTAAGAAGTTGCTGGCAGATACCAAAGCCATAGCCACTGTTTGATTTGACCGTGTATCATATCCAATTGATCAAAGGTTTGAGAGCCTAGGTCAGTGGATGTACCCAGGGGACAAGAGATAGACTTGCCTGTTTGCGCCAGTGACGACGGCGATGACCCTGTTTGGATCCTCCTCAATGCCCGTCCTCGCCCTGGACTGTCTGCGGGTGGATACCATGGTGGACGCTCTACGATATGGAGCAGATGGATAGTCAAGACAGGCGATAATTATTATTTTTCGACGAGCTACGTCTGCAAAAACACGCTCGTCGTTCCATCAGCCAGGCACCCCGGCAGCCGACCCCGCGTTACGTAACTACAAAATGGTGGGGAAAGGAACGACGACGCGAGATCTGGTTGCGGGTACGGTGAGCCGAGCTTGTAATTGTCTTGGTCGGTCCATTTCTATCTCCTCTATCATTCTGTCTATTACCAGCAAGCTGTATCCCATGGACGGCCACCCTTCCTCCAGCGGGCCCAGCTCGCCCCCAGCTCCCCGCTCAAAGACAGCCCCCCCGCCCCTCTCTTCTCCTCTCATCATCCCAAGCGACGACGTGCTCGTATCTCCAGCAGCCCTCCTCACGTCATCCCCGCCCTCTTCCAGCAATTCGAGCTCATCCAGCAGTCAAAACAGCTCTCCACCGAGATCATCGATTCTACGCCGCACAGTTTCAGCTCTGCCGGCATCCACCCAGATCGGGAGCAGTTCGTCCAATAGTAGTGCTAGCGGGAGAGAGAAGAAGATACTGCGTTTCACGCAGGTGCGTGTAGCAAGTACTGTAGTCAGTGGAAAGGGGAAGGGGAAGGAGACGCATGAAGAAGACGAAGAGAGGTTTATGTTTCCAGGGAAAGAGTTGGAAGAAGGGTTGTACATGAGGGGCAAGAAGTGCGTTCCTAGGGACCAGAGAGATTACTTGAAGACTGAGCCTGGGACACCAAACTTCTCTGAAACGTTAGTCGTATTAAAATACGCTGAAATTGCTGACCAAAAGCAGTGCCGACCAGATTCGCCGGACACTCTCCTTGGCGTCGTTGGATCAACTCGCTATCTTGTCAACAAGCCACGAAGAACGGACTAGACTCATCACCGAAGTCTCTCGCGCAGGAAGAAAGCTTGTATGGAGGGACGCGAGCGAAAGGCCGCTTCTGCCTCAGGATACAGAGCGTGCAGCTCTACTAGCTCTCAAGCGCGGGCTTCGTACGTGCCAACCGACCAGAATGGAAAGTGCTGACGTTATATTCCAGGATCCTTCATCCTCGCCTTTTCCGTCCGATCTGGAGTCAATGTCCTTCTCTTACTCTTTCGTCTTCTCCGCCGAGTCCACCCTCGGCTCACTCCCCTCCTTTTGCTCCGCACAATCTTCTCTCCCGACTCTTGGCGCTTCGGCGGCATGCTCGGCTCCTTCACCCTTCTCTACACATACACCCTGCACCTTTTGAGGCTCGCCCCACCATGGAGCTATATCAAGAAGCGATTTAGATACGGTATGTGGAGGGAGGTGAGCTTTGGACCGCCTGAGAGGGAAGGGAGTGAAGGTGAGAGAAGATGGCAAGCGGCGGTCGCGGGAGCTGTCGGAAGCTTGGCCTTGTTGTGGGAGACGAAGGGGCGGCGGACTGGTGTCTCGCAGCAGTAAGTTGTGGTGTTCTGCCAACAAACACTCAGACTAATCACTGTGTAGAATGTTTGTAAGAGGACTCCAGGCAGCATACAACCAGTACACTCCCCGCCTTGGAATACACATCCCTCATGGTGATGTCCTTCTCTTCGGTGCCTGCTGCGGGCAAATCATGTTTGCCTTCCTCATGTCACCAGAGACGATACCGAAAGAGTACAACAACTGGCAAGTCATCCCTCAAATTGGCGAAATTCGTCTGACCCATGATGCAGGATCCGATCAGCGTCAAGAGTCCCTCAGTTTGCCATCACTGCTAATCGAACACAAGTCCGGCAAGGCTTCGTCGGCGAAGACATGATCCAACAAGCCCTCAATTTCAAGGTTTATCATCTCTCTCTTCTTCTGGATCATCACTCACCATCAACAGGGTATCACCCCCGAGAACCGGATCAGACTCACCGACTATCTATCTTCCATCCGCTCTGGCCATCAACCCAACGCAGCTCCCTGCGCAATGATCCATCCCTGGCGCTCCGACTGCACATCCACAAACCTCGCCCGCTTCTTTTCCGTATTCCGATTCATGCTGCCCATGTACTCGGCACTGCATCTGATACCGATGTTGGTGTTGAGGAGACATTCAATGAGAAAGAACCCGGTGGGAATGCTGGGGAAGGCGTTGCTGGGGATCAGCAGGAGTTGCAGTTTCCTTGGGGTATTTGTCTTTATCTATCAAGGTGCGTCTTTGACTCGGATCCAGACGAGGGTGCTAACCCAAGCAGCCCTGTTTTGTGCGCGGGTACAAACGCTGGAACACGGCCGCGGTCCAACTTGGGTTCGATCGCTTCTTCGAAGGAAACAAGTCTTTTGGGGCATGGGCTTTGCCACCTGCCTCAGCCTATTTGTCGAAGAGAAGGCAAGTACCTCTTCCCGTTCATATACAAGCAAGGCTAATGCCAGGACAGAAACGCCGTGCCGAGCTGACAATGTACGTGCTTCCCCGCGCTCTCGAGTCTGCCTGGTCTGGCGCTAGAAAGAGGGCTTGGGTACCGATCGTACCCTTTGGGGAGACTATTCTGGGGGCCGTGGCTATGGGGATGGTCATGGATGCTTACAAGGTTAGTCTTCGTGTAGCGATATAGAGAAAAATGCTGACAAGGAGCAGCACCAACCTGATGCTATATCGGGTATCGTCCGTAAACTGCTTTTCCAGATCATTGGACCGGTCTGAGTCTGTGACGGACAGCGTGTGAATGACCTGGTAACGAACCATTGCACTCTTCTATTTGTAGTTTCAGAATCAATTGTAATATCACTCAATGCGCTTGTATGCAGCTATTGATTAGTTGACTCGCAAGATATAGAGTCGTTGAGAAGTCACTGTGCATATGCAATTATGGAAGGCACAACCTCATGTAAATCCTCTGATACCCAGAACCCTCCGAACATCATTCACAAACCTCAGACTGTCCAGCACCGGAATAGAATGGAGCAGGGCCTCGTCGTTGGGGTCTGACGTCCAACCTTCGATTGGTAGAGCGTTGGCTTTACACCTGTCAGCTTTGAAGTCGTTGCAAATGGGAAAAACTTGCCTTTATTCCAACTATAACTAATCGGCGAGTTGTCCATGAAACAGACTCTTGACAGGTCCTTCTCCACCAGCGCCAGATCCTTCACATAGCTCCCGTTGGGCTGTTGAAAACAGCTTTCTCGGTAGAGCTTCTTGGCAAAGAGGTTTCGACCGCCGTCGAGCCAGTCTATGACGGGATCGGCATATTCTGGCATAGATGCGGTGTAGATCACAAGAGTGTACCATGCCGCAACCTTTTCTTTGTTGTTAGCAAGCAGGAAGCGAATCGATGAGAGAAGCGTACCTTTCGAAGGAAATGGTCAACGTAAGGACGTTTGTAGACGTGGTACATCGTACTCCTGCCATTCACCACCACTTCGACGGTATGCCCTTCTCGCCCCCTGCCTTTCGCCCCGATCCCAAGCACTCCGCCAAGACTCAACCCGAGAATCCCTCCGCCACCTGACGATCCTCCTGGATAGTTTAGCGGCCGAGAGGTCGAGTGAATGAGCGTCTCGTCCAAGTCCAGTATTAGCGTTTTCTGGAGATGGAAAGGTGTCGTTGGAATGGCTTTGGGAAGCCTTGGAGAGGGTTTGCGGAACAGAGTCGACTCGGCGTTGGAGGCCGGGGCGGGCACGGAGGGGTCGAGGAGAGATGTGGAGATGGGGTTTGCGAGTAGTTTACCGCCTGACGCCCTACGTGGCGCAGGCTGCACAGGCTTCTCATCGGGTTCTGGTGGTGTGATGCGAAGCTGGGAAACGGGTGAAGGCGAGATGGGGTTCTCCAGAATGGACGTCGGAGAGGGCGGACGCTGAAAGGGAATAGGCTTGCGGCTGGGCGTGGTCCGTCCGCTGCTGACACCATCCTCGTTGTTCCTCTGAGGGGCAGAGCGGAGACGAAAAGTAAAGTTGGGATCGGGCCCAGCAGCTCTGATCGTCTCTTCGTCCGCCCCGAGATCGAGCTGGAGCGCTTCCCCAGAGACGGTAGCAGCAAACTCGTCCTCGCCTGGCGGCACCTCCTCCATACTTTCCGCCCCTTCTGGCCCTCGAGTAACAGGATCTACCCAGCCTTCTCCCTCGCTCCCTTCCTCTCCATGGTCATTCTCCTCTTCAGATGGACTGATGCCCGCGTTCACCAACACCCTCTCGCCGAGCTCCCTCAGGCCCTCCAGCCCAGCACTCACGCTCACCGCCCCTCCCAGTCCTCCTCTACTATCCCGGCCACGTACCCTGCGCCTACCCCTTCCTCTAGTCGCCCTGGTCTCTCCGACGAAAGACCGCCAGAAAGACAACAAGATGGACCATAGAACCAGCGCGATCCGAATGATCAGTGGTGTTGTCGGCGGAGGGACTTTGAGGGACGAGTATGTCTGCCGGCGACGCCGACGTTTGGGAGTGCGTCTAGCTCTCGATTGGGTTGGGGTAGACGGCCGGCCCAGAGGGGTGGAAGGAAGCGTCTGGGCCGGTAATGACGAGGATGACCGGGATGCGGATTGTCGTGAAGGGGATGCAGAGAGAGATGGGACGGGCGAGGCTTGCTTGGAGGATACCTTTTTGGGAGGCGGGGGGGTGAAGAGGGCGGAAAGCCACGTATCGAGGCGGCTGAGGGTGTTCATCTACGTACGCCGCGGTCAGCGAGTGTCGTGGGGCATGCGCGGCAGCTCACTATCTGGGCGTGGGGCTGGGGCTATATACGCATGCTCGTATGCGTATCGGCGGGCGGGCTCGTGGGCGGCGGGGCGGAGATGGCGTTGAGGGTGTGGTGGATGGCGTCGAGAGCATTCGTTGTTACTACCCCGACGGCCGTCACCGTCCCCATTCGGCGCGGCGCGTTTACGTTGGGGCGACAATCTCCGAGCAGGGTCATTCAACATCGCTTCGCTGCCACACTTGTTCATGCACGTTCGTCGCAGGGTATACAGCTAGTAGATATACATCCCCTTCCATGGAGAGATAAAAAATAACAGCCCAAAACGAAAGAGCATAGATGGAAACCTTCTTTATATGTACACATTCCTTCATTGTTTCCTTCACCTCCTCCCCCATCTATCCGGATGATTCAACAACTTGTATAAGCCCCCATCCACAGCAAGCATCTCGCGTAACCGAGAAGCCTGGCAGAATGAAATGAAAAAGAAGCGCCGTGGGCGAAAGATTGTTACAATGAGAGGAGGGTAGAAGAGAAGGGTAAGGGCAATGAAAAAGGTAAAGAGGCGGAAAGCACAGGGGGTTGGAATGTGGTTTTATTTATTGGTTTGGGAGAGAGACGGACGGAAGGGTGAAAGACGGGCGGAAGGGGCAAGATTTGGAGTGGGACAATGCAATTAAGCAAAGTCGCCGGAGGGGGAACCATCCTGGGCGGCAGCGCCGTTGACACCTGTCTTGCATCAGCAACAATACAAAAAAGTAGTAGCATTACTCACGCCTCTCCTTCTCAGACTCGAGCTGAGAGTAGAGCAGCATCAAAGCACGCTCGGTCGCCTCGGGGGTACCTTGGATGGTAAACATACGTTCACCAGTCTCGTCGTGAGGGACCTTGGCAATAGAGATACGAGAGCCAGAAAGTCGTCGGATCTCGGTGATCTTGGAGCCGCCTCGACCGCTGCACACGCAAATCGTCAGCTACCCTTTCAGTCTTCCGCCTGGCCAACTTACATGATGCAACCAACCATGTCGGAGGGGATAGAGATGTTTTGGGTACGGAGGTTGGGGTCGTTGAGGTTGATCTGGGGCGCTTCGCTTTGCCTTCGCTCAGCGGGAGCACCAGAAGGCCCAGAGATCGAACCTCGAGACACTCTCCTGTCGGTAAACCCAGCAGGGGCACCGCCACCGGGGACGCCGCCGAAACCAGCAGCAACAGAAGTCCTCCTGATACCACCAGTGCTTCCAGTCACAGCCTGGGCACCGAGTCCTCCAGCAAGGACACCAGCATCGCCCGCAGCTCCGGGATGGTAGAGCACGGTACCCGCTCCTCGCTCCCAGTCCTCGAGCAAGCACTTGCCGATCTCGAGGACAGCAGTTTTGATGGCATCGACAGAACCCTGAACTTCGACAACACGCTCAGTAGACTGGGGAAGCATCTCCTTGGAGGCAACCATCCTGGCGCCAGACTGGTCTTGGATCTGCTTGATCTTCAAGCCAGAGCGGCCGATCACGGTGCCCATGAGGTTGTGGGAAATGAGGAGGCGGATGGAGGTGAAGGAGCCGACAGGAGGAGGAGGGAGAGAAGAGTCGGAGAGGGGAGTCTCGAGCAAGAGACGGGCGACCTCGGCGTAGGCGCTGGAGACAGCTTCGAGGTCACCGGTCACGCTCAAGACTCGGTCTTGCACACCCTGGACGACCTTGGAGACGCCGGCCTTGGTGTCGGTGTCGTTTCGGATCTGAGCGATGGTGGCACCAGCCTTGCCAATGATGATACCAGCCTCCTTGGTCGAGACGAGGGAGCGGAGGGAGAGCTGGTGCTCGGAGGTCTGGTGCTCGCTCTGGTTGAAGTCCTGGGCGGCCGCCTTGGGGGAGAGGTTGGCGTCTTGGGGGGCGGGGTCGGCCATGGCGGGATGTGGGGTGGGTGGATGGGGGCGAGTAGAGGGGGGGTAAGAGGGGGCGGATGAAAGGATAGAGCAGAATGAGATGGACCCAAAAGAGCGAAAGAGTGGCGCAGTGCCACAGACGGCGTTTCGGCGATTGCCGCCGCCAGGCAAAAGAAATTCGCAACCTGCGCACTCGCTCCCTCAAGAACTTCTCGACGACTCCATATTTTGGACAGACAAGCTCTCGTTATGCAGATTTTCGTCAAGACGTGAGTCCCGCACCCCCCGTTGTGCCCCCGCTGACCCCACGCAGCTTGCCCGGCAAGACTCTCACCCGAGATGTCGAGGCCACCTCTACCGTCGCCTCCGTCAAGGCCATGATCGCCAACGCCGAAGGTGTGCCCGCCGCTGAGCAGCGACTCATCTTCTCTGGTGTCCAGATGGACGACGAGCGTGACCTCGCTTCTTACGGCATCCAGAAGGAGTCCACCATCAACATGGTGATGTCTCTCTGTGGTGGTGGTAAGAAGAGGAAGAAGAAGAACTACGTGCGTCAGCTTTGCTTTGTGTAGGACAACTCCTAACAATGTACACAGACCACCCCCAAGAAGATCAAGCACAAGAGGAGAAAGGTCAAGATGGCCATCCTCAAGTACTACAAGGTCGGATCCGACGGCAAGATCCAGCGTCTCAGGCGAGAGTGCCCCGCTCCCACCTGTGGTGCCGGTGTCTTCATGGCTTGGCACAAGGACAGGCAGGCTTGCGGCAAGTGCGGGTGAGTGATATTTTGCTCTGGTTTCAAGTTTCTTACTGACGTTTTTCAGTCTTACCTACACCTTCGAGGAGGGTACCAAGCCCACTGTCTAAATACCTAGCCTCTCTTGTTCGCTATGAGGGCTGGTAGTAGGGAGAAAATTGGTAAAGATTTGTTTCGAGCCATGCATCTTCGTTCTACTTCATAATCATACGTACAACGAATTCAGCCACCCGCGGATCATGACCCGAGCTTCTTCAGATCTTTTCGTGCTGGCCGACCCATTCTTGAGCAACTGTACCCTGTCACCCCTGGCTCCTTGATCGTGGGGCTTTCGTAGCTTCAGCTTGCATTATTGCGCAACACTTTGCGCATGTCTCGAACTCTCGACGCGACTCTCCTTCTTCCTCTTTTCGAAGTCCTGCGCTTACGTAAAATGTCCAAGTGGAGGCTCTCCACCACCACTTGCCTACGTACAACGGTACAACTGAATTGTACTAATAGTTTCACGTACAATATATCTGTTGGAATCTTTCAATTTCTATAAACACACTCTTGCCTGCTAAACGGGTGCATCTCCAACGCGACTCGCTCGGGACCCCCGTCCTGCCTTCGACCTTGCTGATTAAACTTGTCTGTATCTAATACTTGATCTCATCGAGACATAGTCCTCTCTGTCATTGTATATAGTCTCTTCCGTAGGTGGAAGTGCTGGGAGCCATGTCGTCCCCCCTCATCACCAGTCATTCCGTCACACCCAGTAATCACCAAGACAACTCGCAAGACTCTGCCATCTCAGACTCGCCTACGTCAGAGCACTCGCATCGCCTGCCCCATCCTGTACCTCATTTGGGAGACGACTATCGAAACAAAGAACCCTCGTACTTGATCATTTCTGGCGGCACCGGTGCCAACTCTATAGCGGGCGCATTTGGTCACTCGCCCTCCTTTGTGCTGCCAGTGTCTGATGACGGGGGTTCTTCCTCGGAGATATTGAGATGTTTCGGTGGACCTTCTATTGGAGATATTCGTAAGCATATCTCTAGATTGGGTGACGAGTGCTGACGCCGAATGCAGGCTCACGACTATCGCGACTGATTCCTGTGTCATCACACCCGAGTACGAAAGCAGAAAAGGAGAGAGTAGCCATCTACAATCTTATGGCTTTTCGATTCCCATCTGAGTCAGAGGAAAAGGCGGTAAGGGACATGTGGATGGAAATTGTGGAGGGCAAGAGTGAGCTATGGGATGGCATTGGAGAGGACAAGAAAGAGTGTTTGAGAGGTGAGTCACGCACACTCCTTCGTAGGGTGACCATCTCATGAGACCTTAGCTTTTCTGGTACACTTTGAAACGCAATGTCTCAAAAGAGCCCACAAGAGGTTCTCCTTCCGGAATTTCTCTCTGGGCAATGGATTCTTGACTGGCGCAAGAGACCTTTTCGGCAGCTTGCCTAGTGCCATCTTCTTGTTCAAGTCTATTGCTGGGGTGGCGGTAAGTCATAGCTGCTCGTATATGGTCAGGTTCGCTGACCTGCCACCAGGAGGGGGTACAAGTGATACCAGTAATCAACACCAACCGTGCGTCTCGACCGTCTTGAAGCCCGGTGTGCCGCTGACAACTCTACAGAGACTGTCACCATCGCCGCCCAGCTTACCAACTCAACCACCCTAGTCGGCCAGTGCGCAATCTCCCACCCATCTCCGAACCCCTCTTCCTCCCCAACCACCTCCTCCCACACCCCCCTACACGGGAGCCATTCCCCAGCAGCGCTTCCCATCGTCCATCCCATCCTCCGCTCACATCTCCGGCGCGATTCAAGGACGTTTGATACGCCTGATACTTCGGCGCCGCCTACGAGGGGACATAGCCATGACAGGCTGGGAGATTGGAACGAGGAGGGGAGCGATAATGAGGGAAAGCAGGGGAGTAATTTGGGGTACAAGAAAGGGGAGGAGGAAGTTCCTTTGGAGGCCAAGGTAGAGAGAGTATTCTACATCAACCTTTACGGACAGGTGAGTCCATGTCTTCCCTTACCGTGCGCTTCTGCTGACCATACATTGTAGGAGATCTACCCTGATCCCAACCATGATTTTATCGATGCTCTCCACCAACGCGACGTCCTCGTTTATTCCTGTGGCTCCCTATGGACTTCCATCGTACCATGCCTTGCTCTCAAAGGCCTTGCGGGTCAGATCGCTTCTTCTCGCACACTCAGAGCCAAAGTTCTCCTCTGTAAGCACCATCGCTATATCGTTTCGCAGTCAGCTCACACGATGGCGATCAGTAAATTCTGCCAATGATCGAGAGACTACAGACTATGCCGCTTCAGAATACGTCGCGACTATCCTCGCTATGCTTCGTCATTACGACAAACCTAAACGAAACCGAGTTCGAGATCAACTCCTGCCAGCTCCCGAATGGAAAGCCGAGAACCTCATTTCCCATGTGGTCTATCTGGAGGGTGGAAAAGTTCCCATTGACGAGGGGCAGATCACAGTATGTTCCTCTTTGGCTGTATACGCAAGACAGAACCTGACTTGATTTCAGCAATCTGGTATCCAGATGGTCTGTGTTCCTTCCGAGATACACGGTGCACGACAGGGGGATGTCCCTATGTTTAGTAATGAGGCGGTGCAGTGGGCTATGGCAAAGGTATTGGAGGGCTTGAGTCAAGAAACAGACCAGTGATTTGAGACTCTTAACTAGCCGTCCTCGTTCTAGTCTCTTCAAACGTCGTTCATCAGTATCACACCTACAGACAGATCAAGCATGCATGGTCACCACGATACAGTGAGAACGTGAGCCAGTGAATTCCCTGTTGGGCATGCCCGTTCAAAATGAAAGAGAGAGAGTCAAGATGAACGATTATTGAACGGCATCCGGACTCCTTACTTCGTCGCTTCGGAAAGAATCCCGAAGTGCCTCCACTTTGTTGTGCTTTTTCGGCGCTCTTCTTCATCTTCCACAGTACTCAAACAGTACTCATCGCCCCTATCCAGCATGCCGCCCCCCTTGCATCTCCCCATAATCCCCAACACCCCTTCCCTCGCCGACCACCTCGCAGCGCTGTCCAATCTCTCCTTGAACCTCTCCCGTCTCCCCTCGTCACCCTCGCCAGCCGTCAGAGTACCTCTCGGCGCCAAAGCCTCGTTGACCGGCACAGTCTCCGACACCAACACCGTCCTTGTATGCCTCGGGTCTGCAGGATCAGGAGGAAGATGGAGAGAAGGGGAACAGTATTGGGTCAAGATGACACCGGATGAGGCTGCAGCATTCGTGGACAGACGGCGCGAGAGGATATTGAAAGAGCAGGCTCGGAGGATTGATGGGCTTGGACGGGGAGAGGAAGTGGAAGCGGTTGTGGATAAAGAAGAAGACGTGGTGTCTTTGTGGCATCCCTCGTTCTACCCAGTGGGCGCTGAGCCTTCGACGGTATCGTCGGGAGCACCAGCGGGTACTACAGAACAGCCCGGACACCCAGTCGAGCCTCCATCACTTCCTCAATCTGGTACATCTGTCATTCGGGATGACACCGTGTCTAGGCCGACTGTAGACAATGTACCAGATATCCAACCATTACCGAAACCTGCTCCTCAACAAAGCAAGGGCAGCGGGAAAACGCCAGCCCAAGAGCCCAAAGCCAATGATTTGATAGAGATCATGACGGAGGGTGCTGCTGCTGTGTCCAAGGAAGCGAAAGAGGCGAAGGATGACGAGACTGTAAGCTTTACATGTAACTATGCGAACTTGGGCTGACGATCCCAGATATACAACGAAGAGGGTCTACCTTTCCACGAAATTCGCGAAACGATGGACGGCAAGACCATCGGGGATCTTCCACCACCTTCCTTTTCGTCTAACCAAGAGACTGTGCTGGATGATTCTCCAGACGAGTATTGGACAGAAGCTGCTGTCAAGAGGCGCGAGGCACTCCGGAAAAAGCTATTCCATGAAGGAGACTCGAGTGATGAAGAGGAGGTCGATGGCGCCGAGCCAGCCCCTCTCGGTCCCGAGAATGATGTGACCCCAAAATCCCCTTCCGACCATACTTCCCGTCAATCTATCCTCCGCAAGACTAGCTCTTCCTCATCCACCGCTTCCTCCCGCTCAGAGACCCCATCCTCCAAGCCCAAATCAATCCTCAAAGCTCCCGCTCAAAAGAAGAAGTCTGTCAAATTCGACCCTTCCATCCCTCCTTCCCCCTCGTCACCAGACCCGGGACCATCTTCATTCCAATCTCAACTGCTGCACGGTAACAAGTTTGGTTTCCCCCTACCGCTGGCAGCGAACAGCGACGACTGGGGAGAGAAGCCGGTCCCGGTTTTGAACGAGCCCAAGCCCAAGGCTAAGGCAACAGTCCTTCCTATACAGGCAGTCGGAGCGCAGGTAGTGGAGAAAGATGACGGGTTTGCAGGTTTCAAGAAGGGTTTCTTGGGAGGACCTCCGAAAGTTCAGTCTGCCACTTCTCCTGCCACCACGCCGTCGTCTCAGCCCAAATCGACGCCTGTCCCCGAACCTCCCAAACCGAAAAAGACATCTCTTTTTGCCAAACGTCTAGCCCACTCTGAAGTTGATGCCTCAGCTCCGCCTACGTCTTCGGGTGCCACACCTGCGACAGCTTCGCCCCGAGGGTTACCGAACCTGCCAAGGGAGTCGGAGAGCAAGGGAACGAGTGCAGTGAAGAGTGGAGTCGTGGAGAAGGCCCCTGTGGCCCCCGCAGCCCGATCTCAAGGAAAGGTGGTTGAGCGTACTACCATGCCCTCGAAACCCTTGCAAAGTATGCCCCCAATCATCTCGCTTGCTCCCGAGCAAGACGCAGACCACGGGGATGAAAACGACGACGATGACGATGAGGACTTTTCCGAGTTTAGCTCTGGTTCAGAGGACGAATACGACCTAGACGATGCGCTTCTCGCCCGCGAAGTCGCATTGGAATACCATAAACGACGGGCGTACATGTCGCTGAACCGGGATCCGCGAGACCGGGCAATGTCTAGTCGTCCCGAAGGGTCAGAATTTGAACCCGAAGAAGGCGATTTCGGAGAGGAGGAAGAAGACGGCCGACTGGGCAACTTGCAGCAGGCCGGGGTGATGCTGGGATTACCGCGAATAGGAGATATGAAGGCGGAAGATGGCAAGCCAATAATCATCAACCCGACGGCGGATGATCTGAAGCGTTTCGTGAGGGTGGGTAGGCTGGAAAAT